GGCTGGTATATCTATTGGGAGATATATTGATAGTTATTAGATTAGCTGACGCTAATTATATTTTTAAAATATAAAACACGACAGCAAAACCCTTAGTTATCGTTAAGAAACCTAAAATAGCAGACACAATGCCGTTAGTAATGATGTTAATGCTGACAATAAACAGACCGTTGTTGTTGGGGTTTTTTGGGTTTTTTTTGTCAAATTTAGTCTATTTATGTATTCTGATCAATTATTATTATACCATAATGTTTTTACAAGATAAATTATAATAATAATGTACATTTGTGATTGCGATCACCCCATCCATATTCCATGCTCTTAACGGATGAAAGATAATATCTTATCCTGATAATAAGTAACAAAGGGGTTTTCTGGAGGTGGTGATTTGAATTTCGCACATAAAGCACTGTTGCAGTAATCGAGTCTTGAGAATATCAATGCACGAACAAGCTGCTTGCAGGCCCGAACTGCCAAGAGGTGTCGAATATTGCCAAAACATCGGAGATTGTAGTAACACGTGCGACAAAGTTGTTCGACCTGTTTCTCCATGGTTAACGAGGAATCCAGTAGCACAGCAGGATTCTTTAAACATGCTGAGACCTGAATGTCGGTTTCACAGATTACCACACTTGAACTTGGTTTATACTTAGTCGTTGATATGTCCCTACAAGCATGGCTTCCGTCTTGTGATCATTCAGTTTGAGCTTACATGTACTCTCCTTTATCCACGATTTTACAGAACTAGAGCAGAGTGTTGTCTGTTGAAGAGACTCGTCAATTTCATTTTAATATGCGTCACTGATTAATTGGGTGTCATCAGCGTAGGAATAGTGCGTGATCCCGAAGCTGTCTTATTACATCACCAAGGCATTTTGTGTATAAAATCGGCGCCCTGAAGGTGCCCTTTCCATTGGACGCAATGATCTGTGACGAGATCATGTGCGCCCAACCAAGAAACCGACCGCATACCGACACCCGAAGAAATCAACCATATGAAAGCCAACTAGATATTGTATGAATTTTCCAGGTCAAATTCACGATGTGGATGAGATTGATTCAAGCCCTCACCAGGCGTGATAACCTACAAAATTCAAACAAGTCGCACTCTAACCCGATTCTGAACTTTTAATTTCTCTTATAAATTATTATAGGTACGCTAAAGTCGTTTTCCTTCCTTCAAATTTTTATAATACATAATACGCCAATAATAATCCATCATGTTCATAGTTCCTCTCCTCTGGTGCAAACCCTATTTTCCAAAAATTTTTGGGGGGAGAGCTCTCTAGACCCTTCTTCGAAGGGAAGCGCGTCTACGGTGCCGTTCGCCTTGGACCTTGAAGTGTAGGTACATCGTCGCCCCCAGAAGACCCATCAGCACCCCGGGCTAGTCACGGGCCTGGATATATGCAAGTATTGACGTAATCTATTAACAAGAATCGGGCGGATTTAGGATGCAAGTTTACCACCATCAACTATCCGCAGGAGATCATTCAACACCCGAACTATAGTTGTTTCAGTGATGTGATGAGGTCGGTGGGCTGATTGGAATGTATCCAATAAGTTATTGTTGTTGACAAAAGCCAACACTCATTGTTAACAGCTTTTTCTATCAATTTGGAGAGATAGGACAGATTGGACACGGGTCTGTAATTTTTGAGGATGTTGCGATCCACGCCAGCTTTTTGGATTAGAGGTCTAACTATAGCCTGTTTAAATAATTCTGGAAAACAATCTGTTTTCAGTCTAGTGTTGACAACTTTGGACCCCATCGGAAATAAGCAACGGATGTTATATCACTGGCTTTATATGGACTATCCTAAGTGAAGGTCTTTTCATGACACCATACTTGCCATACTTTTCTATTCTCATCCCGTGTCACTTTGTCAATCATATAATGCAACATATATTTCTTATTTCATATACATAAGGATGAATAAATAAATAAATAATCACTGTAATGGCCGGCAGAAGAAGATCAATGTGTTCTGTTAAAGTTTGGTTGGTATAGGGTCAATTGGGCAAGTGTCTTTTTGGGTGTATTTATAATCCTTGCGATTTCATCTTCACTATAAGGCTCAAAATCAGTCAGATTGTGCTGAAATAAGAGTTTCTGTTTCTGAGTTACACTGATTTAGTTGCTTCCTTAGTATATCAATCTTATTTAGAAATATTCCGAGAACGTGCTTATGAAGTGATACCTAATAAGGATTTTATAAATGAATAACGCTGATTACCTGTTCATGAAGCATTGGTTAGTTTTTCAACCGTACTTTGATTTATCTTCCTTGGTAGTTCTTGAAACCTTATACCTATTTTCCTTGTACATTTGTCGGTGAACCTCTAATTGAGAACGACGCCTTTTACGTTCTGCACGTCTGCGTTTTTGAAACCTTATACCTATCTTCCTTGTACATTTGTCGGTGAACCTATAATTGAGAACGACGCCTTTTACGTTCTGCACGTCTGCGTTTTTGAAACCTTATACCTATCTTCCTTGTACATTTGTCGGTGAACCTATAATTGAGAACGACGCCTTTTGCGTTCTGCACGTTTGCATTTTTGGTTTGCCTTCGCTACATTTTCAGAGTACCATGATCTGCCAGGAACAAGTAACACCACTTTTGTAACAACTGGTGCGTGTTACCGAGAAGAGTGATCAGTGTGTTGTTAAAGGCACAACATAGTTCAGTGATAAGATGAAAGATGGCCCACACTTTCAAAGACTAACCAAAAATGAATTGATGGCGGGTCCAGTTATTGGATAATACCAATAACGTAATTTGAATGTTTTACTTACATAGTGAAACGATGAGGAGTCTCTGAGAATTTAGATGATTTCTTACACGAGTTTAAGATACCACTAGCCGCTCATCACTTCGATTACTTGTAGTGAACTTGGGATAGGGTTCCGATTCTGTGGACATATTCTCAAATCTAGTAGTGTAACGGTCGTAGCTGAAACGGACCTTATTAAAGGAAATATTCCTATCTGTGGAATAACCAGCTGGTCTCATTTTAATTGTATGGAAATGATGTAGTTGTGGCAACGTTATACAACATGCGAATTAAGCCCTTTTGTCATTTGGCAAACCTCGTTAGGCTCTGGTACCCTACATCTAACCTCGGCTGTATGAGGAAATCCGCCATTGGAACTAATTTCAAGTTCCTTAATTAAAAAGGCGGCTCCCTTGAAGCTAGATACTCAATCTTGGCCATCATACAAAGCTTTCAATGTCTGAAGCTGTTTTCCTTTCAAGTTTATCTAATTTTCTTTAAACAAAGGACAACTTTGCAATGAAAACTCTACATACTCTTTGAACGTCGCCATTTTCAGAACTTCTTTCTAAAAGCGATAAGTTTTCCTAATAAATAATCTGGTAGCCGCATCACAGTTGAATGGATGTAGCTACATATCACTTACCGTCATCATACAGCCGAGGTTAGATGTAAGGAAGACCCGATGTTTGCCGAATGCCGCTTGTGCACGGCAACTATTGTGAAAATAATGACGATTTTCTTAAACCGCTTATATAATGGAATCATCAAGTCTTATGGCTACTGTATTTGCTACATTGTAATAGACATCTAGCACCATATTTCTGGCGTGTACAAATCTCAAATTTGCCCCAGAATTGACAATTTAAGTTTTGACCAAAATTAGAAATATTTTATTGGATTAACCACATAACAGTGTCATATCTGATTTAATTTGTCACGTAGGATGTCTCATTGATATAAAATATGTTTTAACAATGTGAAATGGATACAACAAAGTCATTTACCGCCGCCCCCCCCCCCCCCATTTCATTTGCGACAACCTTTACATTTCACCTTGTCATAAGTCTGTGTTCTTCATAATATCACCCCTGCTGATATTTACCACGGCAGTTTGTTTCACTGATATAAATAAATATTAAAATATAACTTTTATGTTTATTTTCCAAAAATTGCTATAACCGAAACACCATAAAACAATGTACGAAACAAAGTGATTGTAATCCCCCCCCCCCCTCGCCCTGCTACTTTATAAAAAGAATTCAGTCATTAATAAATATAAAAAATGGTGGATGGAACCAGGGCTTAGGTCACATGTATTTACAAACGTTAATGATTCTGTCTATAAATCTATGTGTGTATTTTCTCCATATAATCATGGCCACAAAATTCCATGTTGATATGACTATAATAACAGTCATCAATCATTATCAGGAATATTTCCTTCAAGACTTACAGACTATAATAAATGACGCGGATATCACATAATTGCCTTAACAGTGTTACCTCATAAGTTATATCAATATTTAAGATTTCCATGGTTATATCGTCTTAATGACATGTTCATGTTGTAATAGATTTCAAATACAAGAAAGAATATCGGTGCTTGACGTATATCTTGAATGTGGTTTCGTTTTTTGATATCTTGCAAAACTTTAGTTCTTGTACTGGTAATACTTTCATTGATAAGGATTTGATACTACCAGATAGCCGATGGCCTTTTTAGAATGCTAGGTTTTTGATATCTTGCAAAACTTTAGTTCTTGTACTGGTAATACTTTCATTGATAAGGATTTGATACTACCAGATAGCCGATGGCCTTTTTAGAATGCTAGAGATATAAGCTGTATTTCTAAGAGTTTTATTCAAGAAGTATTTAAGGAAAGTTATTATATCAACGAAGTTTTCAAATCAGACTGATATGGGTCAAACTTTAGTCTTGTAAGGTAATATTCAGAGATAAAATGGAAGATTCTTGTCATGGTTCACCTTTCCATATCCAAGTGTGAATTCTCCCTATTCTTGACTCAAAAAGTTGAACAAGGTTTTGATCTGAAAGTGTCTGCCAAGTAGATTTTAGACAGCCATTTTGATCTGTTATTTTTATAGCATATATACAGAACGATCAGTGAATATCATTAGGGAGATGAACAGAAGTTGGAATTGTAATAATTATTACAACATTTATATAAATGGTGTTTTCTTTGTAATTAATGTTACAGATAGAGAAACAGAAAAAAGCCGTTGAAAAACACAGAAGACGTAGCTTAAGTCAAGTTACTGACAGGTAGGTAAATGTATGTTTCTGACGTTCTACATATTAGATCTCATATTTGAGGCTTTTCGCGGAGACTTGAAACATGTCCCCCAATAGAAGTAAAATAAAATCCGAAATAAACACTTTTTTGACAATTAAAACCGTTTCTATAATTTTACTTTTTATGCCAGAAAACATACTGATGGAGTAAGATTTGGAATTATATTCGTTGAAAACTCAAGAGAATTCATTGAAAATAATTAATATACATATTAGGAGCTTAGGCGTCATCAATATTGTAATGGAGTCCAAATTGTATCAATTCTTGAAACTTAACTCAGCAGCAATAAAATTCCAACAGTGTTAACGAGAATCAAGTCTCATTAAAAAAAACCCCAAAAAACAAAAGAACTAAATCGGTTGACATGCATGGCCTATTCTGAGATTGTCAATTATTATCACGGGACGCTACGTGTCTCGGTTTGTAATACTCTCAGGAAAGGTTGAATGTCAATGAACAAAATCTGATTTGAAAACAGAAGGTGCTTCATCTACTAATTATACTAATACACTAGATTAAAATACAGATTCCAATTCCAAGGTCACTTGCGGAGCAGCGGTCTCGCAATAAGTTAATCATGGGGTGGTTATAGGAATCTCTGAATGTTTACAGTTATTTATTTTCGCCTGCGTCTTGTGAACACTTTGTGTGACACTACAGGTAGGGTTACGTCGTGACCATCCTTCGTCATGGCATTAAAAAATAGTGATGTGATACCACGGCACAGATATGACTACCTAATCAGCAACTTCCAGAAACCAGCCCGAAACACTAGGGTGACACTTATCTAGTCAGGATTTTCACGCTGTGTATATAATCAATTAACTCCGGAACACTTTTTTATAACTATGTTTAAATATGAAATACATGAAACTACAACATCTATGATAGCACACTGGTCAGCAGTGAATATTCGCTAGGCCCCTACAATCACTGATAAGGATCACATCGATGCGACTTAATGAGCCCCAAATATTACCTTTTTTCCTCTGACAAATTAATTTCTAAAACATTTTTTTTATGTATTAGAAAAATAAATAAAGACGTTTGAAGTATTTGTATGTAAAAATTATTTTCCATTTAGTGTAAATGAGTATTAAAATGAGTAAATGGCACCATTCTGTCCGAACAAGTAAAGTAACATCTTATATAAACAATTGAGCTAGTGATTGGCGCCGCGTGATGTGACGTCACGTGTTGGAGACAGTCATCTTTTACAGAGATATTAGAAAACTTTTGTAATCCTCTGTGAAACAGATTGCTATGATAGTACATTATATTATTGTGATATCTACAGTCTGAGTTTAACAAGCTAAGAACTAAGACCTAACGACTGAAACGTGGCAAGAGCCACACATTTTATAGTTCTACATGATGCTCTTGCCCGGCCTGTAAGCCGAGATGGCTAACGGTATATCTCTCTAGGAAGCCCACATGGTGTCTTCTCTAGTAACTCTAAATGACGTCTTCATCCTAGCCTCTAAGCCGGGGAGGCTGTGGGTATGATGTTCCCCCAGGAACTCCGATTGCTGTCTTAAGGGAAATTTAACCCCGCGCTTTCTTACATAGAAAGTATAGGTGCGTCAGCTATTAGGGCGGGGCAATTACCATTTTAGGGTAAGAGTTTCCTATGGGCATCGTGTTACGTCAACATTATTCTATTTAATTGGACTACTTTCAGCAATTGATGGTGGCAGGGAATGTCTGTTAGTCTAAGAAACTTGAATCTTGCAAAATACCATATTCTTGAAGTAAAGGCCCGTGAAATCCCTCTCTGGCCATTGACCACTTTCGGCGAATCAGTTCACAATTTTTGTAAACGCAATTTATCACGAGCTAGAGGATTGCTTTACTAGTTATTAAGATAAACCCTATCGAAATTCAGCTACTTTTGAGGATTTACCAGTGTGATTGAAAGCTTGTTACCATGGTCAAAAAGTTTTTAGTTTTGCTTTTCACGCTTTTCGGATTTCATACGAATTCTTTTTTAAGAATTCAAAACATTAAACTGCTGACAATATTTTTAAAGAGCTAGGGCGATTATGCTGCTGGTTAGCTTATATAAAGTAGTATGGCTAGATTACATAGGCATTTGTGACTTAGAGGATACCCTAATTTGAAGCTGGAAAATTAAATTAGAACTCAGTTGTGCACTTATTGTAAAGTTATTTCCACTGTCATTGAACTCTTATAAACACGATTCGTACGGGTCCGAATTTTTGTTTAGTTTTAGTATGGTTATTATCTTAACAATACTAGTCAAACTCATTTATTTTTCTATAGACAATCAATGACAAATGAAACATTACCAGAATTAGAATCGGAACTACAAGGTTTATCTCAAAGTATGGAATATCTTCAACATAAACAAATAGTTTTAGATAAAGAAGCAGATTTGCTAAACCGCGAAGAAGACATCGAGAAAAAACAAAAACATCTCGAAGATTATGAACAAGAGGTTAGTATAAGCGGTAACAGTTACCGATAATGGTCCACTGCTTATGGACGATTTTATTCTTTGGATTTTTCTGCACTGTGGTTAGTGGCATTTATTCACGATGTACTTTGATACTTTTTCGACGAGAAGCTGTGACATAGCGGGATTTTACCGTTTCCGTGCTCGGTACCTACGGTTACCTGCCCTTGATGATGTAGAATTCAGCATAAATTATGTCCTCAGATCATGTGCCCGGAAAAGAAAAAAAAAACGGTGTACTTTGATACTTCTTCGACGAGAAGTTGCGACATAGCGGGATTTTACTGTTTCCGTGCACGGTTCCTAATGTTACATGCCCTCTGCCGCACCGGGCATGCCCCTTGATGATGTAGAATTCGGCATGTTATAAATTATGCTCTCTGATCATGTGCCCGGAAAAGAAAAAACGAGTCGGTGCTGCATTTTGACTGGGTATCCCGTTTGACCTCGTTCAGCGTGCAGTGACCTTGAGTGAAAGCATATGCATGTCTATTGGTTTTTTCACATGGAACATATTTTACTTTTTTGAAAGAATATGGGACTGTATTTTTTTTTATTTATTATCACTTTTTGGCGTATTATTAATATGTCTACCACGCCTTCTGAATTTGGTTGATCCATTTCCTATACCAGTGCTCAAGATGTATCTGTGTTGTTTCTAGTTTTACGTCTTCATTAGCCCAGTTGGTGCAGAACAGTAGGATGTTAAACTTAAACCCCATTTCAACTAGTTTTGCATTTTGTTCAGCAGTTTGTACTGTCTGTTTATTGTCTATATTTAAGGTAAAAAAAAAACAAGTATTAGGCGCCCAACAAATTGTGTAAGATTGGGCTAGTACAATAAGGAATAATGGAAAATAATTGACCAAACTTTTGTATATAACCTTTTCTCCCCTACAGATTCAAGATGTAGAAATAATGTTACGGCACAGAAAGGCTTTATGTGATAGAAGACAGGTGGCGCTAATAACGTTAGATGAGGTAATTAGAATCACAGACTTCTTCGTTTTAATTTAGGCCAATACAGTTCTTTTTCAGAAAAGCATTTTAAAAATAAACATTTAATTTTAGGGGTTTGGAATTGTGATATCCGATTCCATATAATTCCCTGGCTCTGCATTTATCTTTCGGATGCTGTCATCTTTTGACGTGGTAATCATGTATGAGAAAATAATTAGGCACGTTATTAAAGCCAGATCCTAAAGGACACTTTCTCATTCCACAATACGATCTTGGATTATTTTACAGGAATTAAATAAGTTAAAACATGAAATTGAAGAAACTAAGGATCAGATGGAAAAGGATGGTATAGATACCACAACAGCATCGGAGAGAGCAAAACAGAATTGGTAAGCATCAAATTCAATATAGGGGAACGGGGCGTGGTAGTCGTGCAGTTAGGGACTGGACTCTTGCCTGGATTGTAATGGATTGTGCTGGAGAAGTATCTGGGGATTTTTCACGCCCGGTTGTCAGTTGTCAGGGCAGGGCCGTAACTAGCTCAGAGCAACGAGGGGGCGCCGGAAGTGTTGTCAGGAGTGCTATAAAATTGACGGACAATGTATATCTATTGTTTTTGCAGCCCCCCTCCCCCTATTTACGGGCCGGTGTCAGGGGTAGCTCCTGCGGTGCTCACAAGTAAAGTGTTGCCTAGTCAACCGGATGGCACGAAAGACTGAGATCCAGTCGTTTACACATTGATCTGGACGTAAAAGAATCATTAGCAGTTGGGAATCGATGATGAGTATTAGAAAGAGAACAAAAAGATATATAGTCTTTAGAATTAAATGTTGAATCTTTAAAGATGCATTGTGTAAAACTAAATCTGCCAATTGAAGGGCTTTCCTGGCGTCAAATCTTATATAAATTATTATTTAAACATTAATTCACATGTCAAATCTAACATCAACTCCTTAGACCATCGGATGACCGAGCTACGTTACATCTTCAAACAGTCATAACTTCACCCACAATAAAGTACTTTGAATGAAATTTTCAATATATTCATTCTTTATCTATATTTGAACTATTATAGCAAGAACGGTCAACTTTTTATCTAAATCCTACATAATGCATCTTTAAGAGCAGAAGATCGATCACGAGTGTATCATGTGATTTTAGCTATATTTGGAGACCAAAGAATACATACGAACAGTTTGGTCGATATTTGTGAATTCATATGTTATCATTTCCCAAGCTTACAATGTTTCTTGGGAAAAAAGATATTTACATAGCATCCGATATATTTTCATTAATTGACGTCTTCAGATCTAATCTAAATATATTTAGTGTGTCATTGCATATTGCAGAAAATATAAATAAATAATGAAAATAAACATGAGCTATTAATTTTAGGCGTTATACAAGAAGTAACCATACTACAGAATGGTAAGGTCATAATTTAGACCCTCACATTTCTATTCCAGTCTCGTAGTTTCACAAGATAGCATGTTTGTTATATTATTTTTGTAAATAGTGCACATTTTCCCCCTAATTCCTATGAAACTCCAATCGACCACCATATGCGCATTACGGATGTAAACGCCCATCCATGAAATGATTAAATCGTTTAACTTAGCTATTATTTCCTAATATCAATATTTAAAGACTCTCTGGCATTCCTGTCGAAGCTTCGATTTTTAATTTTTTTATGTTCTTTTTTTTTTATTTTGTTTTATTTTCCCCCCTGATCACATTACTGAAAAACGAGGTACAACTGTAAGCTAATACTAAAAATCGATGCTATTTTATCAACTTAAAAAGGCCTGTTTTTCATGTATAATCGAAATAACACCCGCTTTGTTATTATCCATTCTGGTCCTCCTCTAAATCCACTGAAAAAAAATCCAAACAAAGCAAGAATACAACACCGCAGACCTAAATCAAGTACATGTAGTTCGCGCCGTGTATGATCCCAGCATGGCCATGGAATGAAATGGGGTTTAACTTCTTATTGGTCTCCACCAACCGGACTAATACAAAGTCATACGCTGTGAGTGTGCTTTGAATGAAAATTTACCTACTCTTAGTCGAATCATGACTGCCGCAAGGGTTCTTTATATACGTGCACGCCACGGTTTTTCGTCCAACCCGAACGACTAGAAGCTGTTCGAATTGTAGCTGCTAGGGGTTAGTTTACGCACGTGTGTACAGGGGACGGTTTTAAAGACCATACGAACGTCCTGAATCATTGACAAAGGGATACCAGGTTGCAAAATCGCAAGGAACATTCACGAACAACATCTGGATCGAACCTTGGCCACTGAGACAAAATTCTCTCATAGCAGTCGCAATTTGTAGAAAAGTAATACCATTTCATTTCATTACCTTCCCGAGTATTTGTGTTTAAAATAATCATAAATAATGGTCTAAGTATGTGTTATAGTTTATTGCTCTATCCAGTTACTAAATGCCTCAATGAGAATAATGATCTAGGTAGTTTTTAATATCGACGAGATGATAACCCACACCCAAGTCTTGTTTCTAATAACACACCTCACGACTAGGTTTAATTTATCAAATAAATTTGTCACTAATGACAAACAATACGCAGGATGAAACATTCATTGATTTCTAGAATGGATACGATGTTAAATATAGTCCCACGGCTAAGAGTCCATATGACCTAAAACAGGAAGTGTTTATACGTCGTTTCTATTCGTGTAAATAGAGACTTTTGGCAAGGGGAATTTTTTTCCATCCGTATCACGTATCCGTATCGTCACGTGATACGTTTCGTCAATGTAATTTTAGAGTTTCGGCAGATTTGGCGTAGTTCTATTACAGCATGATGGCAGTTTTCTACCATCAGTACTAGCCTACAAATTAATGTAGGGAGTGAAGTCGCCCGACAGTCGCTGAGCTATTAAAAAAAACAACAACATTTATGTCGAATCTTATTAAAAAATCTTTGACTCGACAGCAATGTTTAGTTTCACTAATGTATCATTTCAGAAAGTTTATACCCCTTTACCATAGAATAACATCATTTACAGATTTGCAAATTTAGCGTGTAGATCAACCAGCATGCAGACATGCAGGGAAAATATGACAAATTCAGAGAAAAAGTAAACAGAACTATTGATTAAATTCTAGTCTTTATCATGGTTAAAATCACATCAAATATACACTTCGTGTTCCAGGATACACATTGATTCATAAAAGCGCTATGCAATCTGATTAAAACACAGATCCTATTTCGTTTCGTTTTTAATTGTTCAAAATTTCGATTTACACTAGGATCTGGAAGAGTTGTTATCATTAACGTGTTATGGATGATGTGAGGGATTAGGCAATGCGCTTTTGGCGTGAGGTGCACGAAATTGTGGGTAATGCACTAGAAACATCAATGCTGATTGGTTAATCAAATATCTGACGTCATAGGGTCAAAAGCCGCTCTATAACCGCTGACGCGACCTCCCAGAACAACTGGTCAGATCTTCATGTAGTGTAGGCCATCGAAAGTATATCAAAAAACGAAACGAAATACATAGAGGATATTTGTCGTTTTAGAGTGAATAAGATATTTTATTTCATCTCTAAGCAAGAAAACTTATATAAACGTTTTCTTGCTTAGAGATGAAATAAAATATGTTATTCACGACAAAACGACAAATGTTCTATTTATTTTATGATTTTACAATCATTTTAGGTAAAAACAACATGGACTACTGCTAGCCAGTGGAATAACAAATTTATTTCACTGATAAAACGCGGTTTTCCACTACTGATCATAAAATAAAGATCTGTATTTTAATCAGATTGAATCACTATGTCACAACATTTTAGGGTCTAAAAGTAGCAAAAATGGCGGTAAAAAGACGACGATGTTATACGGACCTTTTCCGTATGAAAGCTGTTCGATACGTCCTGCTGTGCCCGTGTGCTGTATAACGTATGGGAAATACACATACATTGATGACGGCACACGCAAAGTCGATACTGATACGCGATACGGACCAGGAATTTACGCTTGCCAAAAGTCTCTAATGTATTGTTAATTATAGTATGTCCAAGCTTAGCACAATGCACCGCTTTATATCCACCATCGCCCTCTTATTGTTCGATCTTTCGTGTAAACACACTACTGTGTAAAATATATCACTGACTCACTTTCTTTGCGGAAAGCATTCACGGCAAGCGTTGCTAGCCATTGGGCCATAAGGAAGAAGCGCATCCAGGTGCAGAATTACCCCCCCCCTCCCCACACACACACACACACACACACACACCGATGAGACCACGTAAGCGCCCCCACGGTTCACAAAACATTATAACAATATCAATAATAATCATGATATGGCATGACCTTACTTGAATAAAACTGCTTCCCGGTGAGATAACGATCGGCTAACAACTATACAGGCAATACCAGTGACGTGGGGGAGGTGGGAGCTCCACGGCGACAGGCCCAGTCCAATAAATTAGTGCTCAGTATATTACATATTATGCATCGCTATCTGAAATTTTTTCGCGCCGTACGCGTTCGATTCCATTATGTCATCATTCTCTCACTGTGGTCTATCACAAGGCAAATGTCTAGATTCTGTCCCTTCTCCGATCATCTTGTACACAAGAATTTGCTCCCAACAATGACCTCAAATGCTAGGAAATTGACTCAAATTTGTCCAGATTGATCTTGCGTGAGACTCATCCCATTCACAGCTTCTAGATCCGCTACTGAACGCATCCAAAATTTAAAATTTTCCGATAGCCAAGTACGGAGCTTTCACACGTCATCATTCAGTCTCTTGACTTCTGTACGAAATCAGGAAACAACCTCACCAGCTCGGTCTATGACATGTAAAGTTGTTTAGTTCGTAAATATCTAGCGTTAAGGCAGTACTTGCAGTCCGTCTGCCGCAATTGTCACATGCACCGACCATTTGAATACTTGGTATTAAGACATTGTATAAGTCTCCAGTTCACAAAAATCATTTTCAGAGTTTTGTTATAGGCTAAACCTTGCGTCATGCTACTTCAAAGAACAACGTTTAAAACACATCCGATCTTATACAAAGAAGACCCAGATGATAAATAACATATAACCAGCCCCGTTAAAGGTTTTGTAGTGGTGGATGGGTTTTCTTATGGATGCGTCTGTATTATGTAATACAGTCCTAACTAAAACATATACACCTTTTCTTCTATTCATCACAAACCAATTGTCCCCGAATTAATTGTTCCGCCAGTCAGACATACTAGGTCTAAAGAAGAATACAAACCAAAAGACCTAGTCCTTGGGCATTTACAATCAATGATCGCTGGTCTTGGACTTCCATTCGGCATGTCTAAACTCGAAGGGAGTGATTTCTAATAATTCGATTCCCAGTCATATGTATGTTTATTGTCTTTTCAGGGAAATGCTGAGAAGAAATATGATGGACAAGCAGAATGTTTTAGAGAGCACTGTACAGAAATACCGATCTGAACTGGCATCTGCCGCATCCAGAATGGTGGGAAAAGATATCCTTATACAGAAACTACAAGAACAGGTAAACCCAATGACTTGCTTTAAGGGTTTTTTTTTATTAAACTGCAAGAACTAAATTTACGATTTTTGTTTATCTCTCTTGATATTTATTTATGTTTTCAATCAAAATTTCAGCTGAAAGATCAAGAAGACGTGCTAAAGGTGAAAGATAAAAAGTTAAAAAATTTAGAACTGAAACTAGAGCTCGCCTTAACCGAAATACATAATATGGAATCCAAATTTGATTTGTTGCGTTCGAATACAAATAATAACAACATTACTCTCGACAAACTCCATCTTGTGAGAAAATGTAGTCAAGATTCAATGATACTTCGGGACTCCAGTCAAGACTCGGGAATTGGACCTCGAGACTTGTCTCCACGGAACAGTCAGGATTCACACAACACTAGTCATGATTCTCCTGGTTCCAGACATAGTTTTACTGGATCCCCGGACTCACAGTTATCTGTTAAATCTGGCAATCATAATGAGGTTGGGTCGTCTTCTTCCATCAAAAGTCATTTACTGTTTCCAGAAATTCCCGGAACCCCTATGTCTCAACCTAGCAGCTCTGGTTTACCATTAACAACAGATGGGTCGTACAGACCCTTTAACTCGGTGGGTGCTGAAAATGACATTACTCACTATCCCAACAATTTGGTGCTGGGTAAACAAAAACTTCGATCTAAAGACAAGATAGTCCGGCATTCATCGGCAAGCAGAAAGCAGAGTATAGCTAACGGAAATCTGACGAAACTCTCAATGTTGAAGCATGTTGGTGATGATATGAAAAGTGGAGCATGTTCTGTGATGTGATATTAGTTATTTTGTTCGTTTTTAAAATGAAGCTGCAAAAATTCTTTCTTTCTTTCTTGGTGAGCGTTGACCTTCAAAACGATGCACATTTGTTTGAACTGTGCAAATAATAAAAGATTTAGTATACTAGTTATCCACATATTTAGACTTGCATCTTCACCATGTGCCATGTCAATCTATATGGCAGCAAGATTTTCCTTCAGGCGATTGTGAAAGTTAAATGGAAAGTGACCATCATAATAATTCAACTAACAAAGAGCCTAGTCAATATTTCCTGCATGGGTTGATCTGTATGGCATGTAAAATGAACTATAGTATCGTATTAGTTTCTGGGTTTGTTAATTTGGATATTAAAGATACAAATGTGGAAAATGACCTTTTATAAACTGAGAAACTGTACTGTGATAGGGGGGAGACTTTAATGTGATACAAGTGGTAAAGTCCTTACACGAATAGATAGATTTTTCTGCTAGTGGTTATTGTGCTTTGGAAAACCGGGATCGAAACTGTGATATACTGTGTTAAATTTTTGATTCAGGATACTGGCTGGACAATGGGCCTACATGACTGGACAAAGGGCCTACATGACGTGGGAAATTATGCTATATGTAATCTGGACAAACACCACAAAGAAATGGTATTAGTTATGTGTTACCATCCGTATGAAAACAGACTGATCAATACATAATTGATTCAGCATTTGAATATCTTGTTTTATAGGTAGCCAGGTATAGGCACACATTTTGTAAGCCATTTCAAACTTCCATCTTAGTGGAAAGATACATTTTGATTTGAAATATAAACAATGAGAAGTGGATGTGTTATTAACTTTGATTACTGATATTCACAACAAAACTTTGATATATCTTGTGTGTCAAGATCTATGCATTAAGTAAATATTGAGTTTCTCTCTTGTGGGATCAACTATCTACTACAACTAAATTATATGCATATGTTGAAAACCATGTATTCACTTTTAAAAGAGCAGTCCCACTTGAAAGATTTTCTATAAAATATGGAAATTATTTAGACAATTTGATCTGACAAAATGCAGTAGACAACCATTTAAAGATCGTCTAACTTGAGCATTGTTAAGTCATATATTAGATCTCATACCTTTATACTGAAAGGTATGGCTATGCCTATTTGTGGACATCTGATGCCAGCTAATAAATGTATGTGGCAAAGATCAATCACATATTGGTCTTGGACACATCTTTAAACCACTGTATTGATTTTCAAATCACTTATGCAACTGTTTTATCGCTCTATGGCAGTGGTTCATAAAACCTCTGCATGCCACTCAAATTACTGATATGCAACTATTTTGTAATTCTATGGCAGTGGTTCCCAAACCTTGATTTAGGCTAATCAAAATATTTTTGCTTGTTTTAATCTAACTATGCGTAAAAAAAGTTTGGGAACCACTGTTCTATTTAATAGAATATAATCAATGCCTTAACTTTCAAAGGAGTAAACGGGATGGGTGTCCGAATGGTTAGCGCATGCGCGTTCAATCATAAGGTCTGTCATGGAGTCAAAAGGCATGGTTTTGATTCCCTGGTTGTACGTGACAAGAAGCAGGGTCGCCTGTCCAACCTCGTGGGTTTTCTCCTGGTTCTCGGGTTTCCTCCCACAGCTAAAGAATCCTACGCGCCAAGCGAATTATTGAAATAAAATTAAACCATGTTGGTCACAAAATGAAATAAGTTTGTGTTGAGTGGGCGTTAAACCCCATTTCTCTCTCCCTTCAAAGGAGTATATGTATATTATTAACAAAAAGTGGGATTGTTCTTTTAAAGTTACTATGTTTATAATTCGTTTTCTACAATTTATTATAAAACATCTTCCATTCATCATTTTGCTTCACATTTTATTTATTAATTTTTAATCAGAAATGTTTCTTATTCTTTCGATATCTTTGACAAGAATAATTAATAAATAAATCTTTAAACACTTTTATGATTGTTTTTAATGTATCGATAATATTCACATATCTATAGAATTTCAAATTTGTTTAATAACATCCCACCAATGACTTGTTTTATCAAAAATATTTTTTCTATTTATGGATAGGCAAGGTATAGGTTGGGGGAATATTTTTTGAAAAATGTATTTTGCTTTATATCAGGAAAACTTGGCACTAAGCACCCATATAGGGCAGCAACTATACCTTATATTGATTGCATCACAATCCATACCCCACCATACAATTATCATTACAATGTAGGAACATAAAAGAAACAAAAAAAAACCCCAGAAGAAATCTGTTTTTTGTCTTTTAATACTGAAATACAATATCATTATATCAAAAGGGTTTAATAAATTTCAAACTTATACATGATACACCAACACTGTATAATGATATAACAATATTTATTGAGTATCAGAATATTGTTCCACAAGCTTTAGATATATAATAACAGCACTATCTAATTATACAATAAATATATATCTATTTATATACACAAATAATTTATCCAAATATGACCAATCTACATGTATATATATCTTGCATAAGAAAATTATGGACAAAAAAAAAAGAATGGAATTCGAATTCTTTTGAATTAATTGGGATCCATTTTAGAGAGAAAGTACTGGACATGAAAGTGAAGGAAAAATAAAAATGTCTGTTAAATATAACTAAATATTCAAATTATAATTTAATATATTTATCATACAAACTTCAATCCTTAGGTATATATGCCTACTTCTGTCAGTTGTTCATTACAGTTCGTCAAATTCCCAGTACTGTGATGTCTTGCATTTTCAGATAAGCCTTTAATAAATAATACAAAATCATCACCAACACTGTAATTAAATGTATTTGGAATACTCCCTATTATCAATTGTTATTCATTGTCAAGAATCAGTTGTAAGAGCAGCTGTAGCTCAAACTGAGGACTGTCATTCGCTATTCAAATGGTGAGAAATGGAGGAGAAGAATCTATGTCACAATCAATCGATTAATTTGACATTCCATATTTTCCATAGTCTCCAGTCCAGGGCCAAAACAAAAGGATCTAAATTTCACTAATGTTACTATAAACTAATAAATTACAAATATGCATTATTTTGGAGTGATATTCTTTTTATATATCTACATGTGGAGGTACTTTGTTGTCGCCCCTGTCCGTCCAGGCGTTCACAATTTGTTTGTGGATATTCTACAGGTCACAATTTTTATCTGGTTTTGATGAAACTTGAAATATGATTTTTCATACCATCTGGTGCCATTATCCATGCAGTTATCCATAGAGGGTCGACAATCTTGTTATTACAATCTTTTACGCTATTGAAATTGAACTTGACCATTATTATGGTGAAATAGTGACCACAAGTTAAAAACATGATTTTTCGTACAATCAATGTGCCCCAATATCGAAAGGAACCAAGATCTTTGAGATATAAACATACATTTTAAGTTTCGTCAAAATGGAATAAAGATAGGTTGCCAGGCAACAAAACAAACACCCACGACAGCTAAATAGTCCGACAAGGGTTGTAGATTATTTATTCTATTTAAGGTATTTGGGGTCATTTGCAAGACAATTTCATACAAATCAGATTGTAATTTTTGTTGTTGAAGGTTTACAAGGTTCTACAAACTAAAACAAGGGCCTTAATTCTGAAAGTAATTTACAGAAATTGTTGAAATTCGACATGCTTTTTCGTTTTACTAATTTAAATAATGCTTATAAATTTCACACAGATCGGATGATAACTTCCCATGGTTCAATAAAGTAAAACAAGGGCCATAATTCTAGAAGTAATTAACAGAAATTGCTGAAATTCAATTCACTAATTTAAATGATGCTATAAATTTCATACAGACTGGATGATAACTTTTGTCGTTAGAGCATTTACAATGTTCAACAAAGTGAAACAAGGGCCATAACTCCAGAAGAAATTATTGAAATTAAAGAGGCTCCATCATATCACTGATGTAAACAACATATATCAATTTCAAAACAATCAGATGATAAATGTAGTCTGTAGAGTGTTCAAAAGAAACATGGGGGCAACAGCAATATACAAACACATTTGCATTGGGCTTATAAAAATTGTGGACATTCCACAGGTCACAATTTTTATCCAATTTTGACGAAACTTGAAATATAGGTTTATCACCCAATGATATGGCCCCTGATTGTACGATAAATCATGTTTTTAGCATGTGGACCCTCTAAGAGGTGACAATTTGTATCTGATTTTGATGAAATTTAAAATATATGTTTATATCCCAAAGCTCTTGGGTCCTTTTGATATTGATGCATATATGTCAGACCATAACATCCTGGATTATGGCCCCTAATTTTAGCTTGTGGGCGTATCTTGCATGTTAGATAAGCAAGAAGCTTACTGTTATTATCACATGGAAGTATTTACAGAATTTTCCTTAATTTAACTCAAACTACTTACCTCCATTTCTGAGTTGGCACCATTTTTAGCCATATAGTTCATCACATCATTCATCATTTTATTATTAGAGTTGATATACAGTTGAAACAGTGCTTTAGCTTCCTTTAATCTAAAAATAAAGTGATTAAATTCAAACATTTGAAGATTACAGTAGCCATTTATTTATCACAAAGATATTGTTTTGTTTCATTTAAAAGTAAAAACAAAACAAAGATGATCGTCATTTGTGGAAATGTTAATTCCTTGCAAACTACAATATTATGAAAGATGAATCTCTACAAGTAATTTAAGAAATGATTCAATTCTATTTAGGAGATAAACACTGACTGTTAATTTGGAATTTAGAGGATTGTTATTGCTCATTTAATACCACTTAAAACTAAAGATATGTTGCCAGGCAACGGAACATACGCCCACAGCAGCTAAATCGTCCGGGCAGTCGCATATATTTTTACTTTTGTATGTAAAGAAACATTCATAATAAACTAAAATCTGAATAAGAGTAACAACTCATTAAGTAATTATCAGAAAATCATTAGAATTTGTTTGGCCCATGGTAACCGTTAGTATACAAAACAATTAATATCATGGATTTAGCTGTTCAAGTTATCAAAAATCAGTGAAAATCAATATACTTGTTGGTCTCAAGACCTTAAACACTGTGTATCAATCTAAAGTCAATCAAAACGATTATATATAGGCGTAAAAACGGAGTATAAATATAAATTCATTTAGATGATAACTATGGTGCCTAAAGCATGCACAAGATTTTTCATTATCAAGGACCATAACTCTGGCAGTAATTACCGGAAATTGTTGAAAATCAATAGATTGGATATTAACTTTAGCCTCTAGCGTCCACAAGATTTATCAAAGTGATCAAGGGTCATAACTCTGGCAGTAATTATCAGAAATCATTGAAAGTCTATAGGCTTCTTTGTCAATCAGATATTCACTTTAGCCTCTAGAGCATTGACAAGCAATTGTGGAGATCGCCGGGTCGGCTGGCTGGCCAGAGAGGGGTGGCGACAATATACGACCACATTTCAATTTGGTCGTACAAAAATGGAAATGAAGATCAGTGGCTTTAAAAAATGCAACATAAAATCTATTAAAATTATAAATTAAGATTAAATTTTTACCTTTCGTTGCTAAGGGCGAATTCCAGCAAACCATTAATTTGATCATTTTTGATGACATAAACAAAAAAAGATTTCTCTGAAGGAGAATCAATAACAGCAACATAGTCATCATCTTCTAATATCATTGCAAAAACAGCTTCACGAACCTAGATAAAACAAATCATTATGTAAAAAATAACCAATAAGGTCCCACTCATAGTGAAACAAAGAAAATAGAAATGTTCCTTGTGACATTATGTATTATTAATAGGTGAAACGACAGACAATCTTAAAGGGACAGTCCCATAATTAACTGGACACCGTATATAAAAGTGAGTTTAAATAATATGTATATTTAATGCTAAGATGTGATGAAATAACTTTAAGATTTGAAATCAAAATATTGACCCTAGAGGAAAATCATTGCCATTGTTTGTGTATTTATTTTCGCTAATTTGTTTCTGAGTAGACTCATTAATTTAACCAAGTCTTTTGGTGAGATTAATTATGGTTGTCATGCCATTAATCCTGATTAATTTCAGCAAGTAATAAAACTGTCATTATTTGTCAACAAAGCATGGTGTCCATTTTTCTGGAGGTAGCATTGCTGGAAATTAAACTATATTCAATGAAAAAGGCACTAAGTTTGTACAAAATACATTTTTATTTCAGAGTATATACGTTCCATAATCTACAGCTCTAATCGACCATGTTTCTTTTCGAGATCTAATTCAGCATCAGTTTAATTAAGATTATGTAATGATCATGAGTAGGTTGTTTTTAATAAAAAAGAAAACATTTGTTACTAACCAGTGTAACTGCTATACTAGTCATTCCTAGTTTAGTTAATGTCTCTATTTTCTCTAAATAATCTCTCTTACTACCTCTTAATACACTCTACAATAATAATAAAATACAATCATTCAAGCTCTACCAATGTCTAAATCACATGTAGAATTCCTGTAAACACTGAGTTACAAGGTAATCAATAACTAATATTTCTGTTGAAATCATTAAAAGAAATGGGGTTGAACGTCCTACTTTTCTGCACCTACCTGGCTACTGAAGTCTGGAATTCGACATGCAGAGTGTTATTAGGGAAATTTTGCCAAGACAGTGGCTCTACATTCTGCTTTTGTTTTGAATTCTAACTGTTGTATCTTTTTACACGCACCACAATGTGTACAGATGAGGAACTTTCTCAGCCATCATAAGAATTAGTAAAATATGTCTATTCAAATTTGGATACCTAATTCAGTAAACCTTCCATTTATCTTTCCAAAATAGGTTAGATTTGAACTTACCTTAACACAATCTCTATCAGAATCAGGTGACATCAGTAAACAGGCAGCAGCACAGATATCAAGATCTAGATTTTCATATTGTTGGGCTAGCTGTTGTAAGTTTAAATTACATGTAACTGGACATCTAGAAATTAAAATAATATCAGTAAAGAAATTAAAATAATATCTGTAAATAATATTACCATTACTTCATGATTACAAACATCAGTCGGGTTGCCAGTTAGTGATACTGTGACATTTTTGCCCAGTGCTTGCCCCGTGGGTGTTTTTTTTGGTAATCCAGTTTTTTTCTAGCAAGATTGAGAGAGAGATGGGGTTTAACATTCACTCCACACACACTAGGTCATTTCGGGACTAACATGGTTCAATTTTATTTCAATAATTTGCTTGCCTGTAGGGGTCTTTAGCAGTGGGAGGAAACCGGAGGACCCAGAGAAAACCCATGAGGTTGAACAGACGTCCCTACTCCTTGTCACATACAGCAGGGGAATCGAAACCACGGCAGTTGACTTAATGACAGATCTTATGATATAATGCGCACACCCTAACTATTCGGCCATCCAATCCCCCACAAAAAATTTGAAATTTTATCGGGATCTGCCTTATAACCTAATGTGTTCAATCATATATAGGGAGATAACTCTGAAATTTGTTTTCAAATTTTTTTTTAATTGTTCCTTACGACTAAAGACTAAATGAACAATCCCTGCAAATTTGAGATAAGTACAACAAAAGCTGTTAAATGTATGGATATAAAAACTCACTGGTAAAGAAGGTTGAAATAATGAAGACATTCTTCTATTTGACTGTCATCAAGTGGAGCTGAAACTGTTCAAAGAATTAAAACATAACTATGAATTAAGTTTTATAGGAAACTAATTCAAGAGAAAAATATTTGGCAGACGGTGAAGCTACAGGTTATCATGTACCGTAGCAGAAAACATCTGAACCCTGGTGACTGTTGTATTGGAGGTATATACACACTAGGATGGTCAGGATAGTTTTCCTTTTAATGCAAACAATTAAGATTAAACAGCCATTTTTAATTTCAATCTATCTCAGAATCCGTCTTATCTGGGATCAAAGCCTCAACAATAAAGGGAAATAACTCATTTCAACTCATTCAGCTGGAGTTTTGACTGAAATGAATTTGGATTTTTAACGTCCTACTTTCCTGCATCTACTAAGGAAGTTTCAGACCACTTTTCCTTACTAATAACGACTATATATGCAACAATTGAAAACCAGATTATATCATGCAAAACTACTGAAGATTGTTACAGTGACAGACTTCTATTTCAAACCTGATTCAACCCTATAAATGGATATCAAAATCCAACATTAATGCATGCATCCCAAATTTATTCAATTAGAATTTTATTTAATATATATGTGTGTGTCAATATTATTTACCTTGAGAGAGTGAAGAAGATAACAAGTGTTGCCAGGCTTTAGTATAATAAGGTAAAGACCAAACATTAGCCACAGCTGAAAGTCGCACCAACACATATTCTAAATTCTTTAACTGAAAAAGAAATTAGCTCATTGATATCATACATAATTCCACATACTAATTACATGTACATTTCAAATCATTTTAATAGAAACATATCCTACTTATAGATGTAATTTTGTTTACTTACATTACTGAGCAAAAATAGTTGTTTGAGAATACCATCCCATAATGGTGGACTGTTGATGTTATAATCTAAACACAAGGCACATACCAATAGAATACCCTGTAAAATATAAATATATGTTTAATACCCTACCATCTATACTAATATTTGTGAGTTGTCACTGTTGTTTGTTTAGGGTTGGTGGCTACACTAGGGCTGTCCCAAGGCTGAAATTTGGTGTATAGGTGTAGCACAGACAGGGGAGTAACATAGGCGAGGTGGCACTGGTCTACCGCTTCCGGTTTCACATATTTTTACATACCTTGGGATGTTATGAAACGTATCAACCTGTTGTGATGTCAATAGAGGGTGATATCTGATATCAGCCCTAGGGATGTTATCACCCTCTGATGATGTCACCACAGGTTTATACTACTCTTTCTTTTAACATTAGGTGGGTAATATTCATCATTTTAATTTGCTTACTTCCAAGACGAATCTAGACATCCAAAAAATAAGATCTTATATACTCATATCTTCCAGTGCACACAGGATTTTTCGCTCACTATCGTGTTTATTATTCTGGCACACTGACCCAACTGTTAAAAAAGTTCACAGCCCACTGATTTCTGTGTAAGGTATTTATGGACACGGCATGGTTGGCACATTCACTGACATCTTTTTGTCACTCAAAATTGAAAAGCATTTATCATTTTTATCTTCCTCACAATCGAAATATCTCGAGTACATTAAATTCTTGTTAAATATTTTCTGCATAAGTTCTGCACTTTGACTAGCTTTAAATAATTCTTTGTCGGCAAATTGACTTGCTCAGATCACTTCGTTGTCCGAATCGTCTGACAACATTGTACAAAATGAATGCCAGTTTGTGAACACGTGGTTACTAAAATGTAATGCAAGTGCAACTTACGACATGTTTTTTTAATTTTGTCATATCAGTCGCAGGGCTGATAAGGGCTAAACCATTGTCTTATAGGTGAAATCAATTAGGATAGATTTAACATTGATGTCGGTATGTAAGACAAATATTACCCTAATACCCTTCGGCCTTAGGTTATTCCACATCTTCTACTCTTAAAATTTAAATACATGTAGTCAAGATGATGAAATGGGTAACCAGAAATAATTTACTGATACATCCCCTGATCCCGACTGTTCATTTTTGGGACAATGTCCATACCCATGTTAAAATGTATTCAAAATGATCATATAACATTTAATTAAAGATGCATTATGTAAGATTTAGATAAAGAGCTGGCCGTTCTTGCTATATTAGTTCAAAAATAGATAATGCAAAAAGAATATATTGAAAATTTCATTCAAATTACTTTATTCTGAGCGAATTTATCACTGTTTGGAGTTTTGACAATATGCGGCATTGATTGATTATTATCGTAACAACGGTACTGGTTATTCAAGTGTTAGCCTCACTTCTCCATTTTTAAATTAAATCATTCAATGGCCGAAGCGTTCTAATCGACTTAAAATCAGGGTCTTCCAATGGCTTAGAGAGTAGATTAAGGGGTTGTCATGTGTAGTAATATCAGACTTCCCTGTTGTTTTTCCTTTGTGATCGTAAATAAAACTACAGGTTAGTTGGTTTCTACAACTTTATAGATGATAACTGCTCGGAATATCTGGGTGAGCTCTGATCAATTTTGCTCAACACCCTCTTTTATGACCCCCCTGTTTCTGCACGTTATAGACTAACCTTGGTGTTAATTTCCTTCCCAAATATGGAATAAACAAACCCCATTCTCCCAAGACCAGGGGAGAGAATATTACCTTATTTGGTCTACCAAACACATGTCATAAACAGAATTTGATGGATATTTTGACAATTGTAAGGATTTTCACAAAATATCACTAATATTTTATATATAAACATGTCATCTACTTCCATTAGTATGTGGGATTTGGCTCTATAGAAAGTGTTAACCAACAATTAGTTAAAGATACACTATGGTCTTAAGGACCAAAGTACTACACATGTTGATAAATGTTTAAATAATAGTTTATATAACATTTAAAGCAAAATATAGACCTGCAAAAGGCAGATTTAGCTCTTACATAATGCATGTTTAAAAAAACAAAACCAAAATATCAATGGTAAGATAATCTCATGCTTTGGATTTAATTAAATTAAGAAGCATAACAGATTTAATTGGATTAAAAAGAGGCTTAATGGACAGATAGGGGTGTATAGAATAATTACACGAAAATGCGTACAGTTTTCTGATGATTATGATTTTTCCAGATTCCTCTTACTAAACCTTCTTTGTTACATTCTTCAAATGTTGATGCAGAGTGTTGAATATGAAGTTCACTTAAATCTACCAAGTAACTTCGAATCCTCAACTTATGCCTGTAATAGAAAAAAGATATATAAACTAATTGAGCTTTTATAAGAAAAAAACTTAAAGTTGGATATTACTTGAATTCCAACCTTTGATCCATGTGTATACCCCATGGATGCTACTTCGCCTGTATATTCCTGACATGTCCCACACGAATTTCGAAACGTCAACCAGGAATATGCCCAATCGGACATTAAGATACAGTGAATAACATTCAGAATTCCAAAATATAAGCTTATTTACGGTATTAATTAAGTGATAACTACTACTCATCTCGATTATTGTTGATAACAGACTGGATTGATTAGGTAATTAAGTGATTAACCTATTTATCACGTTATACCGTCTATACACCTACCTTGATTAACTACTATTAAAAACTTCATATATGTGATAACCTTGTGGTTTCTCGATTGTCAGACATTTTAGATGTCTGCTGACAGCATGTAGAAACTAGTCATAGATGTCACATATCCTAATAGTATATAACACCGCAAATCAATGGACAGTCAATATAACTTTCAAAATGCTTTGATTCTTACCTACAGCCCAGTCCTACCAAGCATAAATGTGACAATGCTGACACACCTATGTCCGATGGTTCTACTTCCAAGTTCTGTGCCATAACAGAATAATTTCTATCTGTAACCATTTTCCTTCGTAAGAATTGCCACATGGTTCTACCTGGCAACCTATTCCCCATTACACAATATTTTAACCATTTCCCATTCACCGACAACAAAATATTCTGTACGTATACACAAAATGTATCCATACGAATCGCTACCTATTATTAGCTATTAACAAACCCCTTTAACTCATTTTCTGTAACCAAACTAAGTTTTTTTTAGACTCCATATAGAAATTCCCATCTGTAGTGGCACAGTCGCATGAAAATCATCGCTGGTCATATGTATTGCTTAATGCCAACTAAAAATGTCTGATGTGCTAAACGTTTTAATAGCATCCCTGGTAGGCCCCAGTTTTTAGTTCAAATCCAAGTTGTCTTAGTAGTGAGACCAGTAGCATGTTTACCTCCAAAATGATCACCGAAACTCAGTCAAAATATTCACCTAATGAATATGCTACGTCAATTAGAACCAGAATTAAAGTGTTCTCAAGTTTCGACCAATCAAATTGATTATTCCTGCTTAACTTAAAGGGACAATAACACTCTTGCTGGCTTGAAAGCTCCAGAAAATAAATAATATCTCTATCTAAGTACTAGATGTTTAAGTGTCCTACCTGTTGTGTAAATTATCCATTACATCCTATTTTACTTGTCCAGAGGGTTCGAAAATATTTCTAAATCGAAGTTTCATTTGAAAAGGGTTACATTAGATGTTTCAAACCATTATGTTGAATTTTTCAAAATTTTTAAATAAGGTGTGTTAAGATAAAATTTGTATCATCAATTAATTGAAATAGTCTACAACAGTACAATTTGTTGACCAGAATAAAGATTGGGACATATTATTCAGTTACAACAAGAGTGGTATTGAGCCTTTAAGCAGAAAATGCTCATCAAACTCATCAAGATATTCACCTAATAAACATCTACACCAAGTCTGAATGTTCCAACTCAATTATTAGCAGAATTATTGCGTGCCAAAAACTATAGACAGACAAACAGAAAAATTCCTGTCTTCTCTCAAAGGCAGGGGACAATATACAAATAATAAAATATAGGAAGTGAGAAATCTAAATGCATCACAACTGTGATTGTCAACAATGACATTTCTGATACATAATTTATGATGTCCAAATTGTGATCAGTAATATAAAATACTTCTTACCTTACATCTTGTATTGAAACTGACCATGTTTCTTTTATTGTTATTTCATCCACTATTTTCAACAAACACAGTAAAGCTCGTGCCTTACAAAGACTGGTGATAGTAGAATTATTCTGATAAATAAAACCAAACATAATTAATTAACTTACAGAGAGAAATCTTTTAAACAATATACAAATTAATTGTATCTCACATAATATAATTCACTGTGTACACGTACAAGACCTCAGTTTTTCATCCCATACAAATGACTATACGCTGTCCCTTGCCAGGCCCTTTATAGTGCACCACTGACAAGGGGGAACCATGCAGGGACATCCAGATGAACATTCTTGGCCAAAACAGGATCACCAGGCCCTTTATAGTGCACCACTGACAAGGGGGAACCATGCAGGGACATCCAGATGAACATTCTTGGCCAAAACAGGATCACCAGCTGAGCGAGCAAGGGCCTTACTCACTAAGCCACTATGGCTACCTGACTGGATTAAATGAAATGAAATGGGGTTTAACGTCCTGCTGTTCTGCTCCTATACTGGGCTAATAAAGACGGGTATACGCCATACAGTGTGCTATGAGGGAAATTTTGCCCGGGCAGCGGCACTATCGCCTTCTCTTATATCGAATTCCAATTGCCAAGCGATCTTTTACGTGCATTCTAATGTATACATGGGACCTTGGTTTTTCGTTTCATCCGAAGGACTAGACAGCTGTCCTTGTCAGGCCCTTCGTTCTGCACCACTGACAAGGGGAAACCACGTCGGAAAACTGTTTGGAATAAGAAGTATGTAAACAGTTACTTACACTCTCAGCAAAATTATATAAATAAAGGGCATTTTCTTTCAAAGCATTCTTTTGTAATATATACATCACTCTATAAAATATAGCATAAAATTTTTTGCAAAAATATATTTCTCTAGTTATATATTTTGATGAAAGGAGCACAAAGAGTGTTTTATTTTTCTAATGAATATTTTTAAAATGGAAAATTTGAATTAGATAATGTGCCTCAATCAGTAAAAACATACTGGTACATTATATTTGAAAGTGACATTTAAAGTGGGTACTGTTAATTTGAGAGAATTTTCTCAAGAACATTATAAACCATACAAATAAAAAGTTACCTCTTTAAATTTGCATCATCATCATCCATTTCAACAGGTTGATCAGACAGTTTAAAACTGTTAAAACTAAATGTACAAGTCTAAAAGAGAATTGATAAATATTTGTTAGTTACTTGACCTCCTCAAACGGCGTTCTTGAAAATAAAAGACCCTCTCTTGTGAATGACAATGACACCCATCTTTACTTAAAACTAAAGGGGGTGGTAGTTTAGACCCAGGGTTTCATATTACCTTGAGACCATAGGCCACCAGCAGTTACTAATTCTATTCACCTCAAGTCCATAATGGGTTAACCGAGTCACTAATTCTATTAAACTCAATACCAATAAAGGCCACAGACAGAATAACCAATTCTAGTCACATCTGATTCAGCTCATATTGTACGAAAAATACGGTTGCTGATAAATGACAGGGTACACATGAGCGTTCTTTGAACCCTCTTCCATGATTCATAACACTTGTATACTTACTGCATCTTCATTTTGTTTTGAAGCAGACGATGGCAGCCATTTTTCTATTAATGACATACAAATATTTCTCAGATTTAATCCATGAATTTCTACTATTTCTTTTACCATAGTATTAACATCTGGAAAATGAAAGAAATATTTATGAATAATAATTGCTAACATATAATCTTCTAACGACATTGAGAAATATGGTTTAAGGTCCATGCTAGGATTTTTCAAGACCAATTTATGGTATATTTCTATTTCACAAATTTGTTTGAGGCAAGAGACATGAAGAAAAACCACAAGGTTTGACACACTCCTTTCATGCCAAGGGCATATAATTATGTGGATTGAAGTCACAAATTACATAGATGATAGACCTGTGATCTGCAGAACAAGATCTTGACTATTTGACTAACACCTTCAATCCCATTATGGTCCAGTCAATGCTATCTGATTTTAATAATTCAGTTCCACATCTCAATGTTCACTCTGATCATTATTAGTATTACCCCAGTTTCTAGGATACACAGAAAGCCAGATTATTCCCCTTCCCCCCCCCCATCTCAGCTTTATATCCCTCCAACCTGTACTGTGTGTAAGGCTCACATGCTGCAACACATGCACTACCCTACCCAGTTAGGAAAACCAAAATACACAGTGATAAACTGTCTCTCTAAGGACCCATGAACACATCACCTGGTCTGGGGATCAAACACAACCGTGTGAATATAAATATAGCTCTGTATAAACATGACGACAAATCTCATGTTTTTTAATGCAAATGAAATCAGGTTTATTATCTGAATTAACCGCACCAATAGAGCTAAACAAGACAGACATATGCACAGGTCCCCGGTTTACCATCCTATCTGAGCAACTAGACACATTTCCATGACAGATCTTCCATCCTTAACCACAGACAAGGAGCAACTATTCTGGTAAACCCTATGGAACTTTCTCAGCAGCTAACACCAGGATTGAATCCTGGACTTCTTGGTTAGAACCATACTTACCATGTTTTTCAATGGAGACATCTAATGCATCAGCTGTAACACACGGTAACTCATATAGTTTATTTATTAACTCTGATGGTTGATTAGATAACTTTAATATATCTGGATCAGTAATATTATGATAAAACAGTACTCTTTGTGTTGAAAGTTTCTTAAGAACTGTAGAAAACTTAATATAAGCCTGTTCTGCTTTCTTTTTTTGTGGATGCTGAAATTAGCAGTGAGTTCTTATGAGTATTAAAAATATCAGTCATAACACATACATATCGGTGTTGTCTATTTTCAGGATGATTAGGAAAGAGTTGAGGAGGTCATTTTGGAAATTTCATCTACCCGGGATTTGGGGTTATAAATAGTATTACCTACATCCTGTGGTGCGTAACTCAAAGTGTGGTCATTTTCAACATTCACAACCAGCCTGAAAATAGACTCTCCTATACATGTTGACACACCCTGACCTTCGCAATATTTTTTTTTATTTATATAATGTTTGAAGAAAATAAAAATTCTCATGACATTTTTAATTAAAGGACAGCAAAAATTTGAGATTAGTGAATAACTATGAGTAAAACAAGATGACACTGATACACCCACACCAATCCCAAAATAACTTGATGACATCCATTTATCACAAGCTGATTTTTATCTTTTTGTAAGGCATCAAGCAATCAAATTACTAATCAAGTTTGATTAAATAACACAGTGATTAAATAGGGGTGAGGCTTGATTAAATAATTATGTGAGTATGGTGGACTAAGTAGATATGTCTTTGATTAAAGAACAAAGTAGGCAGAAGTGAGTAAATGTCAGTGCAGTTTGATCAAATAATAAAATTGAGTAGAAGTGAGTGATTAATTAGTTAACCAGCGGTTGCCAGACATGCAAGAAATGAAGAGAGAATATGCTAAAAAAACAAAACATAATTTTTCGTACAATCAGGGGCCATAATTCAGGAAGTTATGGTCTGAAATGTGTGAATATTGAAAGGGACTAAGATCTTTAGGAATAAAGATATATTTAAAGTTTCAACAAAATCGGACAAAAATTTTAATTTCTATTTCTAGTTTTCTCAAATTCAGATAAAAACTGTGACCTGTAGAGTGTCCACAACAAATTGTGGATGGACAGGCAGGGGCAACGACAATATACATCCAAATGAAAATGTGAGCGTATAAAAATAGGGTGAGAAGATCTGACCTAAGTTTGATTAATCAATAGAATGAGATCTCAGGTGATTAGAAGGTCTTAAAGCAAGGTTAAAGTCTGATTGAGAGAGAGAGAGAAATGGGGTTTAACATCCACTCGACACAAACTAGGTCGTTTCGGGACTAACATTTGGTTTAATTTTATTTACATAATTCGCTTGCGCGTAGGAGTCTTTAGCAGTGGGAGGAAACCGGAGGACCCGGAGAAAACCCATGAGGTTGGACAGGCGACCCTACTCCTTGCCACGTACAACCGGAAATTCGAAAACACGCCAGTCGACTCAATGACAGACTTTATGATACAGCGCGCGCACGCTAACCATTCAGCCATCCAACCCCCCTAAAGTCTGATTGAATAATAGAATAAGCTGATTAGAGTAAGATGTGGGTGAAATTTGCATTCATTAAAAGTACTCAGTGAGTAGAAGTTGAGTGGAATAATCGAGTGAGTAGATGTACCATAATTGAATTTTGATTAAATCAGAGTGAGAAGGTGATTAATATCGTATACAAGTGAGTAAACTCGGATTAAATAATGTAATCAGTAGCTAAAGATTTCAGCGAGAAAATTTGATTAGATAAAGTAAGAGCATGTAACTGTCAATAATCACAATAGGAAATCTTACATCATCATCTTTACAACTATGTTTCATTTTTTCTGCAAACTTGACACTGCACCTTAATCCTAGAATCTTCTCACCTCCTATAATATAACAAAAGATGAAGTAAATTATAACAATACAATGAAACGATTATCATGAAACAAATAATTATTTAGGTGATTCTGAATCATTTACAATCTACTGTTGAATAAGAATGTCTATAAGGAATACCCGTCCATAAGATGATTCAATTCTGTTCAATATTTAGCTACAAAGCTAGGATAATTATAATCTACTGTACCATTAATATTTCGATTTGGTTTTGCTATAAATAATGAAATGTTAAATCTTCAATGTAATTGATAATTGCAAGGAATGACAGTTACTTCCTTTTTGATGAGCCAGAGCTGTTTAAACTTTTTCAAAATTAATAAATACATATCCAGGGCAACTAATTTATACTTACCCATAGGAAGTTCTCTCACCAACCAAGATGAACAAGCAAGAACTAGGCTAATTTCACTAACATTAGATAATAAAGCTTCTATACTGTCTAAAAATCGAATACTCCTTTCATCAAAATTCCAATTACATTTACTTTTATCAGCAGATGCACTATCTGCCTGTTTCACTTCTGACTTTTGACATGCTACATGTTTTATCACCATGTTCTGTACAGCTATTAGATAAATCTCATCTACTTTTAGCTACAAATAGAGAGAGAGAGAGATTAAGTCCACTCAACACAAACTAGGTCATTTTGGGACTAACATATGGTTCAATTTTATTTCAATAATTCGCTTGCCTGTACCGGTCTTTAGCAGTGGGAGGAAACTGGAGGACCCAGAGACAGGCGACCCTATTCCTTGTCACATACAACCGGGGAATCGAAACCACGCCAGTTGACTCAATGACAGACCTTATGATACAGCACACACATGCTAACCATTTGCACCCCCCCCCCCCCGATCCCCGCAGTTACAAATAATACATATTTTAAACTTTAATGGCTTCTTTTAAGATACACTGTGGTGAAAAGAATGTCCATGGTTTTGATCTCTGGCATGGGCGGAGAAAAAACACGGGATTTATAAAGGCCAGCCTTCACTTGTCAGGGCTGAAACCTGTGACGCAGATAACCAAGTGTGCCTAGTCATTCAGATGGGACCAAAAAAATCCCCAAAAAAACAAAGTCTACGTGTGTACATATTAAAATATAGAAATCAACAAAGAAGAGAACATGAAAACACCTCTGTATGTGCAAAATTTTCCTACCTTGAATTGTACTAGTAACTAAGTACATAAAGATTTCCATGTTTGTCTAATAATGACAGAAGTATTATGTTGATGGGATATCAAACCCCACCCCATTCCATTCTTAAGAATAACACAATGTAGGCTTTGTTATGTTAATGCTTGCATTTAGCACAGTGTTTGTCTTCACCAGCTGGGATGGAACATAGTGTGGTTTGTAAATATACAAGTTTACTGATGTTTAGTTCTTGATGACAAACAGTAGCTAACATAACATTACATAGCTTTACTGAATGCAAGTTTGAACATTCTACCTCAACTAGAAGGAGAGTTATTGTGTTTCAGAGTCTCGACCAATCAAATTGCTTTTCGCTCTGCTTACCCTAAGCAGAAAATGCTGTTTATGGAACTTAGTCAAGATATTGATGTGATAAAACCATACACCAAGTGTCATCACTCTCACTTAATTAGAACTAAAGTTATCGTGTCCCAAAGCATCAACCAATCAAATTGCTTATCTATGCTTACCCTAAGTAGAAAATTTTCATCTTCTAACTCCCAACTCCATCAAGACATTCACCTAATAAACACCTACGCCAAGTGTGAACATTCTAGCTCAATTAGAATGAGAGTTATTGTGTTCCAATGTCTCGACTAATCAAATTGCTTGTCGCTCTGCTTACCCTGAGCAGAAAATGCTCATTATCGAACTTAGTCAAGGTATTGATGTAATAAAACTATACACAAAATTTTCTCTCTCTCACTTAAACATGCATTATGCAAGAGCAAAATCTGCTTATTACAAGTCTTTCTTTAGGCCTGAAATGTTATCTAAATTATCATTTAGACATTAATTAACTTATCCAGACCATAATAAACTCTCGATGTCAAGGCTAGCCTTCGATGTAGGCTGGATTAGATTCCTATATGCTGCTAACGGCCAAAGATAATTAAATTAGAAAAAGTGGATAATCGAGACTATGCTGTTTATATTAATGATTTTAGTAATGATAACCGAGACTATGCAAAAATTTCACCGTGTTCTTTCTCGGCTCATGGTGGATCAATTTGACTGAAATTTTCAGCAAATTACCTTTACACTATCTAGTTTTTAACTATTATAGCGAGAACTGCCATCTCTTTATCTTATCTCCCATAATGTATCTTTAATTAGAACTAAAGTTATCGTGTCCCAAAGCATCACCCAATCAAATTGCTTATCTCTGCTTACCCTAAGCAAAAAAAAGCCCACCTTCGAACTCCATCAAGGCATTCACCTAATGAACACCTACACCAAGTTTGAACGTTCTAGCTCAATTAAAACGAGAGTTATTGTGTTCCAAATTCTCGGCCAATCAAATTGCTTATCGCTCTGCTTATCCTGAGCAGAAAATGCTCATTATCGAACTTAGTCAAGGTACTGATGTAAGAAACTATACACCAAGTTTCATCACTCTCACTTAATTACAACTAAAGTTATCGTGTCCCAAAGCATCAACCAATCAAATTGCTTATCTCTGCTTACCCTAAGCAGAAAATGCTCATTTTCGAACTCCATCAAGGCATTGACCTAATAAACACATACACCAAGTTTGAACATTCTAGCTCAATTAGAAAGAGAGTTATTGTGTCCCAAAAAGTGTGACGGACGGACAGACAGACGGACGAACCTATTTTAATAGTCCCCTGCTTTCTTCAAAAGGCGGGGGACAAATATTATACACCTACCTTCAATACATGGGCAATAGGTATCCACATTTTAACTGAACTGCTATCTAACTCTGGAGCTGAAATAACAACAAGGCCAAAATATTTTAAAAAACGGATGAATTAGTTTATGTAACTCTTGAACTCGCACAAAATGTATAAGACAGTTTTTATGAATTTTATTCTTTAGTTCAAGGGTTCTTTGTTCTAATGAAGTTCATTTACATCCCACCCATGCCATTTTCTTACACCTAATCAGTTCACCATTTAAATCTCAAATTGTCCACAACTTGATAACTTCAGTTGGTCAATTGTTGACCGATTTTCTTTCCATCAAATTAGTAAGAATTTATTTTCAAAGAATATAATAACCAGGGAAAGTATGACTAAAACTAGTGCACAATATGTAATACATGTATGAAAAGGAAAACTTACTGATTATATTCCATGACTTCTCACCCATGAGAAGATGATAAGGCATTCTTGTCTTTCCTATCGCTGGTATTGTACCTAATACAGTTGAAAGCTGCAAAATAATATCTTGATAAATAATGTTTATCAATATTATGAGCTGCCCTTTTCTGTTTTTTATTAAAATATTTGTGCCATAAGATTAATATTGTCAATGGCCTGATTGTGGTAACACCCCAACTGTTATGCGGAATATAAAACTAGCACTGGACACCAATCCTGGTCAAAATATTCACAGAAGTTTATGACAGAGAGTATATTTTTGGTTGTCTATCTGATATACCTGATTTTGATAAGACCACTAATACAGTATTTATTTCAAAGGCGGTACTAAATACACCTACCTCTAAACGGTCATTGTCTGAATCATATTTTAATTCTTCTTCTGATGGAGTTCCACGTCTCTTATAAACTTTTAAATAATGTAACAATTCTAAACCCTGAAAAATAGAGACATTGAATATTTGAATCAGGAGACCCAGATGTCTTCCAGTTAAGCAATAAATATGACCAATTTTGAACCTGTCCTTGACTTTGATTTTATACTTTGGGTAAGACAGAAATAAAGCTATATTACTGTCTCTGCATGATGGAGACAGATATTACAAGTGAGTTGTCCAAATATAATTTTTAAAGAATTTTTCAGGAAGGAAAATTTGATACAAATTTTTACGTTTCTACAGTTACATATACAATGTAGTGTGAATTTTGCGTAATTTGTGGTGTTTAGACTTGAGCAAACATATACCTGTTGAGTATTTGGATCAACATCAAATCTATTAAGTTCTGTCAGTATAAACTCTAATGATTCATAATCATATAAACTTGTCTGAAACAAAACAAAAAAATCATTTAGTTTGAAACAAATAGGTAAACCTGGGACTAACACACAGTAAATATATTTACCTGACACCATGGAGCAGGTATTTGGGACAGTGGGAAGAAACTAGACATAGTGGAGAAAAACCACATAAGGCACCTTGCCTAGTCAATTACAGTCAAAACCATCAAACTTATGACTGCAATGATGCGATCAACGTTCTGCAATGTGTAGCTCTAGACCAGTCCAGAATTATGTTAGCAAACTCTCAATTTAATTACAAGAGCAAAAGAATCATGGCATGCTAGATATTTTGTTGTGCTAAATCAATTAGAATAGGCCCATTTCCTAGTTATTCCTAATGGCAAGATATCTTACAAATTATACCTTCAGAAGAATCTGTTTCAACTTTTTTCTGAGAGTTCCCTTTTCTTTAACAGCTTCAATAATCTCGCTAGCCTTGGACAACCTTGTCCGTAATTTCTTGGTATCTTCAACATCCCAGACAGAATTTTCTTTAGTTAAAACATTTTCTAAATACACATATAAACCATCATCTCTTTCAAGATTAAATGCCCTGAATGATAAAAAACCAACAACTTCATCCATTTCAGAAGATAATATCACAATTACTATACGATCCATCTACTTTACATATCAAATTTTGATTTTCTCCAAAACTGAGCAATGAACCATTCTAAAACCTTTACAGCTATTCTTGGTGTTTTTGACAAATAAAAGAGTTAAAATCCTTACTTGCAAAACTGTTTAATGGTGTCAACATCAGCTACCCCACTCTGCGCAAACTGGGTTATAACTTTTAATTTTTCAGTAAATCCACCAGTAAAAGCATCTTTGAAAGGAATCTAGAACGAGAAATAACGTACATCCATGCATAGTATTCTAAGTGTGACAAACCCATAATGTAGCCCTATTATCGTTTAAATCAATCAGAATATCGAGCTGCATTTGCCAAATTTTGTAAGTACTACTTTTTTCCCCATTAAGTCATTGAGGGTGTTTATTCAGACTGTCTCTAGTTCTAAAGGAAAACTGTTCAGATTGTCATAAAAAATTACTGTCTCTAGTTCTAAAGGAAAACTGTTCAGATTGTCATAAAAAATTACTGTCTCTAGTTCTAAAGGAAAACTGTTCAGATTGTCATAAAAAATTACTGTCTCTAGTTCTAAAGGAAAACTGTTCAGATTGTCATAAAAAAAATTACGTCTTAACAGAATTACTATCATGATAAATACAGAATCGTGGAATAAACATAAGATATAATGATTTAATAAAACTATTACCTTGAATTTACCTAACCTATGACCCCAAGTACCATTAGTCTCAAGTTGTTGACAAATTTGTATTATCGCAGGATCATTATATATTTCACCAACTCCAATACCCACTGTAGCTACAGCCTGTACATAAACATAGTAATATCAAACATTCACATTATATGTACCAATCCTGTCCAGGATGGTGCATGGTTATCATATACACAATCTGATTAAAATACACATCTATATTTCATTTTGCTTGTTTTATACTTTCGATGGCCTCTACTGAGTGAAGATCTGACCAGTTGTAGGTCACTTCAGGGGTCATACAAGCGGCTTATAACCCTATGACGTCAGACATTTGATTAACCAATCAACATTTATGTTTCTAGTAGGATACCCACAGTTCCGTGCATTGCATGCCAGGAACTCGCTGCAACAGACGGTTCTATTGGCTAATCCCTAACATCAGCCAGAACGCAGGTTATTTAACAACTCTTCCAGATCCTAGGGTACTAAAGACAAGTAAAATAAAATTCTGAACTATAAAAAACGCAACAAAATAGGATATGTGTGTTAATCAGATTGTTATATACATCACTGTAAATAATGTTCAATACCCTGTCAATTGGAAGTATGGAAATTATCCAGATAGTGATCTTGAATGTCACACTGATGGACTTTTATTCACATAAAAAAATGTTCATAAAAATTTCAATTCTCTATTAGAACATTGAGTAATGAACACATTATAGAATGTAATGGAATGGGCTTCAACATCAACACCACAATACTTTGGTTATTTTGAGACTAACATGTTAACTTTCATATCAATGTCTATGTGTGCAATGCAAAGGGTTAATTTTGCCTGGACAGTGACGTTCTTTGTATTCCAATAAATACATGGGTATATCTCGGTTCCCATCCATTCTGAATGACTAAGCACTTCTATATGTTGTAATTTGTTATTACAAATAGACATACCATCAATTTTTTATAATTTAGCCCAGCAGATGACATCATTTTCTTCATGGTTTCCGTACATATCTTGTTGGGTAATGTAAGAAAACAGGCCAAACCTAATTTGTGGTCAACTTTTGTACAGTTAAACAACTGAAATTGACAAATACCTTGTAAAGCGAAAATCAAAACAACAAATCTTTTTCACAATGACAGCAACAACTTTGTGGAATGTGGCACAAGCACCACTTACAAGTTCATGATTAGTTTTAACAAAATACAAAGCATTACACAATAATAGCACTTACTTTACATAAAAAAAAATAATCTTAAATCTTGCTTTACATATATACTGCTATATTTTACAATGCAGCAAAATGATAATCTTACCTTTGCCAGAATTCCAAACAATAATTCTTTAATCAAAGGGAAATACTTCTGCTCTACTTTTTCAATTTTTTTGATCAAGGTTGCTAATTCGTCCTGAAGACAATTGCAATACAATTTTAATATATAAACAAAATCTTGGTATTTTTCTCTTGTTTTACAGACAATTGGGAATTTATTAGTTTACAGAAAACAAAAAGAATCCTTTGATTGTTCTTCTCAAAAGGCATTAGCTCCAAATTTTTAAATTTAAAAATAAAATATAACTATATCAATATGACAACAGGTGTCGGTACATCAATCAAGATCCTACCTTAGTTTCTAGGAAGCTCACATCAAGAATCTGCATCTCCATAGAGATGATATACATCACAATTCTGAAAGTTAATTCAAAATGGCTGTTTCCTTTTAGGTGTTGAATTAAAAGTATGGATGCATTAAAACAGGATTCTAACATACTAGAATCAGCTTGTTCTACGGATTCTGCAATATAAAAATTTAGTATTTTTAAAGGAATATTTTCTATTTGAGAACAATGTCTTTTCTTCTAAGAAACGTACAACCAACATCTATTAAATTTTATTACTTTCTGCAAAAAAACATTTGTCATATCTCAGAACTACTAATATTTAAATAAATTATTAAGTTCAAGCAACAATACCATTGTTGCACACACCATTTTGCAAACAAAACCCATAAGACAAACCTGCAGACAAGACACTCAAACTACACAGACATTGAAAGCAATAAACAACAATGTATATATCAAATGAAGTGAATGAATCCAAGGCCAGCTGTCAGCATCCACTGCACTGTACAGTCCCAGGTATGTAATGATACAGGCTTCACTCAAAACAAGACAGTGGCAATTGTTTGGCAATTCCAGAAAAAATTAAAACTCACAGTAAATTTTCATATAAGATATCAAAGACAATGCCAAAAACAAGGCTCTTTCAAAATCAAAAGATAGGTTGCCAGACAACGGACATACGCCCCACAGTAGCTAAATCGTTCGAGCGGTCTACAAGGGTTGTCGCATATTTATTCTTTTGTAGGTAATTGGGGTCATTTACAAGACAATTTAATACAGATCACATTATAATTTTCGTTGTTTGAGGGTTCACAAGGTTCTACAAACTGAAACAAACTGGAAGTAATTTGCAGCAATTGTTGAAATTTGACAAGCTTTTGCGGTTTACTTATTTAAATAATGCATATAAATTTCATAGAGATTGGATGATAATTTTTGTCATTCGAACGTTCACAGGTTCACAAAGTAAACCAAGGGCCATAACTCTAGAAGTAATTGACGGAAATTGCTGATATTCAATAGACCTTTGTTTCACAAATTTAAATGATGCGTATAAATTTTATACATATCAGATAACTTTCATACATATCAGATGATAACTTTCATCAATTGTGGTTAAACAAAGTGAAACAAGGGTCATAACTCTAGAAGTAATTATTGTAAGTTGCTGCAATTCAATAGGCTTCGTTGTTTCTCTGATCTAAATGATGCATATAAATTTCATACAGATTGGCAGATAACCTTTGGCGTTTACAAGGTGCAACAAAGTGAAACCAGTGCCATAACTCTAGAAGTAATTAAGGTAAATTGTTGAAATTCAATAGGCTTCTTCATATCACTAATGTAAACAACATAGATCAATTTTAAAACAATCGGATGATAACTTTTGGCGTTCACAAGAAATTGTGGCCGAATGAATGGATGGAGTGACAGACGGATGGGGGCAATGGCAATATACATCCACATTTCCATGTGGGCGAATAAAAATCGGAAATAGTCTTTTAACTAGACAATTATCTTACCTATTTTCAAGAATGGATTGGTTTTTAGGAAATTAGCTACTAATGGTAAAACAATAGCTGAATTCATGACAAGTGAATCTTCTTTAAATGATGTATCAAACGTCCATGTTTTATATCTGTCATCTTTACTCTTTCCACTTACACTCGGTTTTCTGGTATTTCTCTAGAAAACAATGTAAAATAATAACTCTTATATCACTATGTTGGAACATTGAGTGTAACTCCACATGAGATTAGTACAGGAGTCCATCCAGATGCATAGTAATAATTGTCTCAAGGACTATCATGGGGTCCTGCCAATCCAATGTGGAATGTACTCATTGTTGACGGTTATTTACTTACATTATTTATCAGTGTTAGTCCTGTAGCTTCACATTCATTACTGATACTAGTTAATAGATGAGTTGATTTACTAAGCTCTAAATATTCACATAGTCTGTCTGTAAAATACACATAAATATTCACAACTGTAAAATATAAATAAATATTCAAACTTATGTAAAATATACAAGCATATTCTCACAACTGGAAAATAGGAATAAATATTCACATAACTCAGGAGACTGGGCTAATGAAGACAGGCATATGCCATGCAGTGTGCTATGAGGGAAATTTTGCCTGGACAGAAGCGCTACAGCCTACTCTTATATCGAATTCCAAATGCCAAGGGATCTTTTACGTGCACACCAATGTCTTGACGGAACCTCGGTTGTTCATTCCATCCGAATGACTAGACACCTGTCCTTGTCAGGCCCTCCTTCCTGCACCAATGACAAGGCGATACCATGCCAGAAAATCATGATGAACTTTCTCGGCCAACATCGGGAGCGAAACCGCAACCTCCAGGCTAACAAGGCAGCATCTTACTCACTTAGTCACCGTGGCTTCCAACAACTATAGAAGCCATTCAGTAGAGGTTAAGAGTTTAAATATCTATACCTTGTGAGCATTCTGTAAGTGCTTGAGATGCGAGTTGATAAGCTATTTCAGGTAATGTACGTATCTCATCTAATTCCATATCACAATCTGACAATAATTTGATAAAGGCTTGACATACTTGAAATATAGCTTTTTCTTTCACTGGTGAGGGATCGCAGTCAAATAATTTACTGAAAATAACAGTCAAATAAACGAATATTGAACAATTGAAATACTTTACCGTAAAACAACAAATTCCAAAAGTATGATCTCTTTAAATATGGGTACGATTGGACCAAATGGAATTAGAAAGCAAGTAGGAAGGAGTCACTACTAGGAATAAAATTCTGCATGAATTATCATGATCTGGGGTTTATTTATAATGGTAAAAGTGCAAACTCAAATTACTGAATAGAAAACAGTTTCAAAAAGCTGCCAGGCCCAGGATGTAAAATGTCGGGAACCCCTGTACTGGACACAATTGTATTATTGGTTCACTAAGAAATGAGATCTGATGTATAATCATATTCTATGAAACGGTAAACTTACTTGCACAGATTAACTGCTGTACTGATATCACCTTTATTGGCTGCATATACAGCTAGTCGACTCTGAAACTTGACTCGTGGTATCATTAACAAGTCGGCTAATCTGTAATCAAATACAGTTACTTAGTAGTAGGAAAACAATAATTGCCAACAAGCTTCAAAAGCTCTAATTAGAGAGGTTCCTTATTAGAGTATTCAGTTCTTTAATACAATATACATTATTCATATTTTAATCACATCTACCAATTTCAATGCCAACAAATATGTTGGTATAAATTAAGTAAGTATTAAAATTAAGACTGACTTTTATGCAAATTACATGGATGCTCTATTACCTGTAGATTTCAAAATAATTGACAGCTTTCTGAAATATAAATGTTCATAGCATAATTTATAATCTAAGGATAAAATTACTGATTTTCACTATGTCCAAAATATGGTTTAGAAGATAATCCAGTTCAGTCTTCTGACTGATTTTCAAGAAAATGCTAGAACACCCTACATTGTTGATGACCTCCGTTAAAAATATAGCTATATAGATAACTCTGACCAGAGTTTGTGGACACATGATTAACATTTCCGAATAAATCAAATCAACAGAACACCATTATATGGGATCAAAATATAAAATAAGACGCAGCTAAAAGTCAACATGAAGACCTACCTACTCTTATCTTGGTAACATGTTTCATAATCATTATAAAGATAGGTTGCTAGGCAACAAAACATAGGCCCACAGCAGCTAAGTCATCCGGACAGTCAACGAGGGTTGTTGCATATTGGTTTCTTTTGTCAGAAATGAAAACATTTACAACATAGTAAAATCTGATTACGACTAACAACCCATTCAGTAATTATCAGAAATAATAAGAATTTGTTTGGCTTCTTGTTCTGCAATATACCAACATTTAGTATACAAAACATTTTTTATCAGGGGCCATAACTTTATCCTCCAGAGCGTCCACAAGATTTTCAAAGTGATCAAGGGCCATAACTTTGGCAGTAATTATGGGAAATTGTTGAAAAAAACAGGCTTCTTCGTCTCCTGACCGTAACAATGTGTATAAATTTCAAGTGAATTGGCTATTAACTTTAATCTCTAGAGCGTCCACAAGCTTGTGGATGCCCGAAAGATAAGGGTGACGCTAATATACAACCATATGTTAACGTGGGCATATAAAAAGTGTTTTACCTTGTTATTATCTGTAGAAGATGAGGCTGTGAAGAATTTAACAGCATGTGATATAAATATAACATCTTCTCTATAACTTTCATCTTTATATTGTTCAACTGTCATATACTCTCCATATTCACACTGTAATTTATAATAAAACAAGTTGTAAGAACATATTTTTGTGCGAACTATTCTAAGTGAAGCTTTTAAATAGGACAATCATACAATCATTGTTAATAGATGTATTATAGAGAAATTTGGTTTTAAAACAAAATATTATTTAAGAGTTTACATCTGATTTTGTTTGAGGAACCAGGGTTTAAATTATAAGTACCTGTAATGCTAGTATATTGTGAAATATTTTTTGTAGATTCTTCCATTCATCTATTTCCATGGCATCTAAAACCATAAAGATCAATATAAATTATTTGTATTGCCAAAAATATATATTTATCTATTTCATAAAATAGAATCAAAGAATTATAATAAATATTTTTTTGAGCTTTGTGTACTAGTGAGTCAACCTATTAATATTTTTTTCCTCCAGTGCCATAAATAAGTAAAGCAATAAAAATAAAAATTATACCATGAACTAATGTCTGTAGATATGTTGCTGTAGCTACAGCAGCTTCTGTATATGATTTCTTCTTCTGCCTTGATACCTGAATTAAAATACATCTTAGTCTATCTGTAATAAAAGCTCGCTCACTAAAGCATTTTATTTAAGTATTCATTATTTTATAAAAATTTTCCAGCACATTTATTTTCAATCCTTCCAGACTGGCAAACGTAATTGAAATGAAAGCCATCAACAAAATCTACTGTAAACTGTTTCAATGATGATAAGTAACTGAACTGGAAATAATAGGACATATAATTACAGTAATCTATCTATCTTGTACTAAGTTATAGGTTTTAAATTGAAACCTTAATACTTGTATCTATTAGATAAAAAAATATAGAAACATTTCTATTTACTTCTCTAAGTGTTATGACCGGAAAATAAATGTATATAATTATAAATTCTATTTTTGATGTTACCTCAAAATATTCTAGTTTAGTATCTTCTAGTAGAAGAGTATAGTTGACTATATGTTGACCTGTAGAAGTAGCTAGATCTGATGGTAGTGATCGTAGTAACTTAACATAGTCTGATATCTACAATAAATATTAATATAATACAAGATTTCAATATTTCTCTTTCATTACACTAAAAGATCTGAGAACAGGGCTAGTGAAATTGCAGAACTTATTTCTCCAATATGACCAAAGGAAAATTATGTTGACAGTATCGTGATCTATACAAAACAGATGTTAAGTATGTAACCCCGCCCCCCCCCCACACACAAGAAAGACTTTACATATAAAATAAAAAGACTTTACAAAAAATCAGAAAAATATTAAAATATGTAATGTTAATCTTACACACATGGCTTCAATAATATCTAAATAACCATTTGTGAACATACAATAACAATTCCCACTGTCTATCATACTCTACAAGTGATCAAGTATTTTGTTGCTGTAACCTACCCTATTTTCTTCTATAAGGAATAAAGCTCTAACTTTATATAATTCCACTTTACATGTTAATTCTAATGCCTCTGATACTTTTATAGCATCTTCTACTGCTGTAGGTAAATCTCTTTTTAACATATACTTTATTAGATGCTGTAATATAAACATATACTTTATAGATGCTGTAATATAAACAAGAATCTTAACATATATTCTTTATTAGAAGATATAATATCAACAAGGACCTAGGACCTCCAGGTTAGTTAGCCAGGGCCATATACTCACCATGGCTCCCTTATTACATTGAACTTCTACAATCTATACGCTTATGTTTTGCAAATGATTCGGCGAGAGATTAATAGATCTTTCGCCAAGAATAATAATGATAGAGTAGAAACTGGATGGAAATGTAGCTGTATCGGCTTAACTGACCAAAATATATACTAGAAAGTCTTTTAATGCCCCGGAAAGACTATTTGCTTCAGCTATGATCATATACTATGGACTAGTTTACATACCGCAGCCTTGTCTTGAGATGGAACTTCCATATTCTTCAAACCATATTTGTACATTAGTTTTTTCACTTCTACCAATCGACATTGTTCTTTTAATTCCACCACCCTGGAATGAGTATATTAATAGGTGATCAAACTATTCATATTAAAAAGTTGTTAAACAAGAAGATATATCTTGGGGGAAAAAATTGGAAAAATATATTCATTACAAAAATATCCTCATAATATGGGATGATAACATGGCTATTGCTGACACTCATCACGATATACTTATGATACGAATAATTAACATCACTTAAAAGAGCTATTTTTACAAATCATGAAGGGGTTTAATATCTTACGCTTCTACACTAACCTGGGCCATGAGACGTGCATATGCCATGCAGTGAGACAAGAGGGAAATTTTACGAAGCAAATGTTACGGCCTATACTTATTTTGTTTTTCAACAACATGTTGTTGTTATCTTAAACTGATTTACATTTTATAATAAGCTCTATGTATTAGACCTCCATGTGATTACGAGTCTTGATGCAAATTACGGGAACATTAAGAGTTAGGGGTGGTGTCCATTATTTGATACGGGACAAAATTTTGACATTAAGTTACAAACTCACATGGGATGATTAAGTTTTAGTCCAGATTGAATCATTTTTTCTGTATCTTCCGTCCATGGTAGTGGTGCTATCCTCATAATATCTAATATTGCTAAACATTTTTCCTAGAAATTAAATCAACCCAATATACAATAGTAATTATTAGGCACTTCAAACCACATATCCTTTGTCTTCCTACATAAAGGTGATTGGATTGAAAATCAAAGAATATTCATATCAATATCTCCAGATCATGTAAATAAAAATAGAAGTCAACAGTAATGTCCTCCGCCTCAATCCCAAATTAATAGCTGACACTCATTAATTTCTTGAACAATTAACATTTTATAAAGCACTGAGCAATCAAAGTCCTTGTCAGTCTGCTTAACCTAAACAGAAAATAATAATTATCGAACATACACCAAGTTATACATCACTTAAAAATTAATATGATCAATACATCTCTTTGACCAGTTGATAAATATTCTTACGGTACTTACTCTTTTATCTTTTATAACACCAATAATTGCCTCTGTTTTAGATTCCCATAAAGATGTTCCTAAAGTTGGTCGAATATGTCCACATCTCTCCACCAGATCCTAAATATAGTGAAATCTTTTATACATAGAATACAATATCACACAATATGGAGCCCAAGATAGGTTGTTGATAAAAATTGGTGGTTTTTCAAAGGCTTGGGTTTCAAACATATTTTATTTATTTCAAATAATTTGCGAAACATCTAATAACTAGTTTATCTTTATCTTCATACTAACCTTCACATATCGTGATAAAATATAATCTACATCTAAATCATGTTCTTCTAGATATGGAATAATTTGTCTCTGCAAGGCTGGTACGATTAATTCTGCAGCTTTTATCTGATCTAACATACGAAATGTTATAGATTCTGTTGTTTCCTGAAATAACAATAATTACCTAGACATTAACATAATGTTATTTACAGAAATAATCAAGGATTGCCTACAAATACAAAAGAAATAAAATGGGGTTAACGATATTCTACTTTCCTGCATCCTAAATATGCCCACTGCCAGCCCAACTTTTTATGTAATCAACTTAATAGAAGTCGGCACATTATAAAATTGAATACCTTATGACAATCACAGACAATTCTTGAAAGTAAGATATTCAAATGACAAAAATACATGCTCAGTATGATAAGAATCAGAAACATATGATACTGGTTGTTTGCAATATTGACTCAACAACTGATCACATAATTTTAATATTCTCAAACAGATAACATAAATACATCAACATATATGAAGCAATGCTATTAAAATATTACTTATATTTTACCTGTTGAAACTGAGCTAGTGACAGACGACAACTGTTTTTAATCTCTAGATTATAGAGATTTTGTAAATCTATCACCATTGAACATAATGGCTGAACATCATATTTACTGTTTATCTCTGTCTGTAAATAAATAGCAAACATATCAAAACTAACTCAAAATTTATAAAAATAACTAACAAAGATTGTTTTTAAATATTATGTTATTGGAGTCAGGATTTGTTTGCCTTCCCATAACATAATTCAGTTACATTTAATATGCACTACTACAGATCGACTAGGTAAATATTTTAATACTGAAGTTTTGGCCAGCAACTTCATTCAAAATCACCTACCTTAGCAGCATTATCAGCAGGTGAAACAGAATCTGTTAGATTTATCTGTAAAACTTCACTAATTTTCTTATATAACGTTTGTCCGAATTGCAGAGCATTTAAAGGCCAGCCTTTCTGTACATAAAACAAAACAAAGAACTATGAAATAATGAGACATGGAAGATCTAATCAATACTAGCTAACAATTGATAAAAATATATTTTTTGAGTAGACCTACTGACATTAAACAAAGCAATTTTTTCTAACCCTATAAATTTCTCTAGAAAATAAATATGCTATTCCCCAGATAAGTAACACCAGAGCTTTCGAGATCGGCAGTGCGCTTTCCGCCCTTAACAATATATATTTCAGAATCAAATTAGAATTTAAAGTTTTTGCCATTTTTTTTTTTTTTTTGGCTTCACAATCTGAAATACAAAGTATTTTAAATATTAAATTAATTTCTTCTATGGGTCCTGCATTAGATGAATTATAACTTTTAATTTATAGTTATATATACCTTTTCTAAAAGTTCCATGTTGGTAATCTTATCTAGAATCCAGTTAACCACCAATTTCTAAAATAAGAGATAATAATTCAATATCATTAACCTTTCATGAATCACAATGGTGAACCAAAACAAAAAACTTTAAAACATTTTTCAAACAAACAATTTTTCAGTAAACATACTTTGTTTTCAGCAAAATAGAAAAAACATTTAACACAATAAACAAACTTCAATGTTGTATTTATGGCTGAATCAAAAACAAAATAGTGCATCTTAACTACTCAATTTGATGCATGCAAAAATGGCATTCATTTCTTAATATAGACTGACAGCTGCAGATTACATTTTTTTCCCCAAAAAATAACCCAATCAATTTACCATAGCTAAGGGAATAGTTGTACTTATGTAAGGTATAAGATCATCCTTAAACCAATCAATTAGTTCATTAGCATAAAGTTCAACTGGTATAGTATGCAACAACTGTTGAATCACTTTCACATTCATCATTTTGTTCCATTCCGTCTTAGAAAAAAAAAGAGAAAAATATATATAAACTCTCATTTTCATATAAATCATTATTTACTTTATTTAATTAATAGATGCTCTAAATTCTCAATCTTAGACAATCTGTAAATGTCAGGTTTACTAACAACAGAAAATGTAATATGAAAAAGGCCAAATAATTATTTTACACACATGTGGCAAAATTACTTGCAATAGAAGAATTTTGTGCTGTACTTTTGAATCCAAGAAAGTGTAAAAATAACTATATTTTCCATCAAAAAAAGCACTCTAGTACACAGAGACAGTCAGAGGTTTCAGTTGGGACAGTGACTAAAATATTTTGGGTTAAAATCCTTATGTGGACCAGATTAATCGTCAAGATTTTTCAAACACAGTTCCCAGTTTTGAAGGGTATGTTCTGCTAGTCTAACAAGTGAGGTAGTTATTTCAACAGTACTAAAAATTAAGGCCCTGTGTAAAAATAAGATAGTGCATGAAAAAAAAAATCCCATGGCAATTGAAAATCAAAGAAAAAGTTATATTTGCCAATTAAAATACATACCTTGTGTCTCTTCCAGAGAGTTATGGTTATATGTTGTTGACCTCTACTAAGTGCATTAATACTATTCTTTAATAGATTAGCATTCATAAAAATATCCCAATCAGATGCACTGCAAATAAATATCATTAGTACTAGTAGGCATCTATATGCTCATCTTATATTCTTTTAGCCTCAGCAGGAATAACACAATTGGCTAATATTATGACTTCCACTACATTTACTTATATTCAATTCTCGAAATTATTGAGTAATATCTTTAAAATAGGATAGGAATAGAGTTTATTGGCTTGATAATTCAGTTATTGTGAGACTAACATACAGTTATGTTATTCTATGGTCATCTGTGAAATGCTACAGAGAATAATTTTGCCCAGGCAGCGGCATTTCAGTTTACACAAATTTCAACTGTCCAGGGTTGGCAAAACTTTCCTTGTCAACTACTACTGTCTGGGTTTGAAAATTCCAAATGTTTTTTCTCTGCCCATACCAGGATCTGATCCTTGATGTTTTGTCGTATAATTACTGTTATATGTAGTTCGTTCCAACAATATTGGAGTTCGTTCCCTTTTGTTCATTCTTGTTGTTAGAGTTATTTCCCGTTGTTAATAAATGACCTTGACCTTCTTCTGGTGTAAGGTGAACTAAAGCATGGTGTCGTTAGTTACTTAACTGCTTTAGCGAGTTTGCTCAATCCAATAACATCGGAATGGTGACAAGTTAAGAGATCCCAATACCACAGTTTTAATCAAGAATCCAGCACCCTTTCCGCTCGATTACCTCAGTCCCACATCATTTTAAATTAAATGTGCTTCTACACAATGAATGATTACCATCATCAAAATGTGAGTAATAATTCCATGTGTAATACATGCTATGTTGTATCAATTTAATTTTCATAGACGTATATACCTGTATTCATCAATACCATATATTATTCTATAGGTTAGAAATCTATGTAAAATTTCTAAAACTTCTGTTAGTAGATTCTGTTGTCTTTGTGCGGTTTCTGGTGAGGGCTTTGTTGATGCCAACTTTATCAACTATTAACAGAATAATACAAAATATTTCAAATTAGGCAAGACACTGAAATTATGAATTAAAAATATTCAAGTTGGAAAGAAAGAACTGTACGAATATATATCTCCATATAATTGCAAATCAAACTGAAATTTTTAAAAGTGAAACTAAAGATATCCAATTTAATACGCTATATTTAGAAAAAAGATTATTGAAATACCCTATTTTTACAGTATTGTAGAAGTTTGTTTGTCTCGTGATATGTTGGTAAAGCAGCCTTCATACAAGATTCAGCAATCTGCAGATCATCCTACAAAAAAATATAAATCCTACATTAAGATAATGCTGAAAGACAAATTGAGAAGAATAAAAAATATTTTTACAGTAGAAATAAGTGTTACAATATACCCAATGGTCATATAACTTTAATCTTAGCAGAAAGATAAGATAATTTGTTTGTCAATATACACTTCAGCAGACACCATTTTCTATACCAAGTTCCTCTTAATCAACCATTCAAAACTTTTGCGATAAAAACTTTAACAATATGCAAGGGAATAGTCCTATAAAGAAACTAATGTCTAAAATAATACACAAGTCTATGGAACACCATAAGAGTTTCCTCCTAAGCAAAGTTTCGACTATGATACTCGAGCAATGAAGCCTAGCTAGCTGTAATCCATTGAAACAAGTCACAAAATGTATTATATAACGAAACTTACTGTAATCAGATCTAAACATCGCCATAGGTCTTCTATCATATTGTCAATAGATTCAGAAGAATGGTTGCTACTATTCCATGATGCTACTTGATCTAAGATATCATGAACTTTAACAGCATACACCAGCTATGGAGCAAATAGTCAAACATACATCTCAATAAAATTGAAGAGATAAAAATGAAAGTTTTAACAGCCAACTGACCACTTGATTGACTACAATCGTGATGTCAGCAACATTGACATCTTCATGGTTACCATGCCATACATTCTTTATATTTTCCAAACTCAATTAAGGAAATGAAATGGGGTTTAATGTCCTACTGTTCTGCTCTGACTGGGCCAATGAAGTGTGCTATGAGGGAAATTTTTCCACAACAGCAGCACTACAGCCTACTCTTATATCCAATTCCAACTCCCGAGGGACCCTTTACGTGCATGGGACCTCAGTTTTTCGTACGATCTGAATTACTAGACAGTTGTCTTTGTCACACTCAATTGAGAGAATTCATGAGATAGGCATATTTAATGGAAATAGAATGTTAATTCAAATAGATAAACATACTGTAAATAGAAGAATTGGCATTTTAAAAATTCTCTAGTAAACTGGATGACATGAATCGGTACCTTGTTTAAAATATTACATAATCTGCTTTGGGGACTATTGTGTTCGGTGCATGAGGTACTACATAACCCATTGAACCAAAAAAAAATAAAACTTTATTCTTGATTTGTTACATGACAGTTGTTTCTACATACTGCCAGTAATATATGCAATGGAAAGATAGGTTGTCAGGCAACAAAACATACATCCACAACAGCTTAGTTGTCAGAGATTGTCGCATTTTGAATCTTTTGTTAAATAAAAAGCAAAATCATCATACTATCATAGGCAACAAGTAATTATCAAACACTGCTGGAATTCGACAGGATTCTTTATTTCATAAAAGAGCATTCGCAAGATGTTACCAGGTGATCAAGGGTCTTAACTTTAGAAGCAAGTGTTGTTCAATGTGTTCATCTCACTAATAGCAACAATATACATATATTTTAAAAGATCTGGTGATAAATGTAGCTTGTAGAGCTCTCACAAGAAATTGTGGACCACTGGACGACGGACAGAAGCAATGGGAATATACCTCAACATCTAGATTAAATTTCTTTGCAAATTCTTCAGCTTGCTCAAATAATTTCTTGTTTAATAATCGACTCAATCTGTAAAATAATATATGAAATATGAAAAGACAGCAAAAGGCAGATACATTCAGTGACTATTAACAGTAAGTGGTCTGGATTGTCTTAAGAGTGTTGGTGACTAGATGAAATCATATTTGAAAAATGAGTGATTAATTACCTTGTTTCTGGTCTAGCTTCAGTTAAACATCTATATCTTATTGTTTCTATAGTAGTCGAATTACTACAAAATAAAATCATTTTAACATTAAAAGCGTATCTGCGAAAGAGCACCATGCAAAGGGGGGTGGGGGGAGATAAACCACGGGTCAGGGATTTTGACCAAATGTTTTCTGTGAGACTGGTTGGTACCCAGATACATCCCCATCCCCACATAATATTAGAATTGATTCAGTTGACACCGACCTGGCCAATTGGAAAAATATTTTTTAATAGAAAAATAATCAAAAAATGGGCTATTTTGACACCATATTTTGGATGATCATTTATTCGGACAATAATTGATTTGGACAAACAAAATTTTGGGAATTCGTAGGACCAATCAGGCTTCTTCCACACACCAAGTTTGAAGTTTCTACTGCAAATGATACCTTGGTACTGTGCGATACTCGACTCTCTCTGAAAATTGAACTTAAGGAAAACCAAAGTTTGAGAGGCTACAGCTCGTTCTTTGCATGGACTAGGACCAAAGTTGGATGTTACACTCAACTATCAATCTTCCTACTAACAAAATAAAAACGACCAGTACAGGCATAATAAAAACAGGAGAAATAAATTAAAATCACCGAAAATTGGGACAAAATGTTCATTTATCAATATCCCAGACTAAGTATATGTATGGACATCTTTACAAATTTAATATATTCCATTTAATTGTTAGCAAAGATGATTTAGACTTGAGAGAGAGACAAAAATTGTGTTTAACGTTCACTGACACAAACTAGGTCATTTTGGGACTAACGTATGGCAATACATATTTAAATCAAATCAGTTAGTTTAAACAAATTTTATTCCATGAACTAAATCGGACTGAACAGGCAGTTGTTTCATATACAAAATTGTTCCTCCCAAACGGTAAAACCCTGTGTGAATACCTGATTATAAGAACAAATTCTTACCTTTCCTCACAACAGCCTTCAGCTACATACAATGATTCCTGAAATATAAACAATTCATAACTATTAATACAGTGGAGGTCTTTTGGAACACAAAATAAATGATACACAAAAGCCACATGGAATTATGTTTATCTTATTCTAATGATATCAAAGATTGTAACACTGGCTACAATACTGCCCTTCTTATGCTTTGAATAAACATATCACTTCACAACTTTGGGCATGACAGATGCAAAGCATACCACTGCGATGAACACAGACATACAGCACTATATACTTATATTTATTTATATACCATACCTGGTAGGGATTACAATTGGCAATATAGGTAAATTCATTTAATTGTAATGTATAGACAGTATTTAAAGATGGTAGCTCTTGTACAGATAATACAGAACTTTTAGTGTCTTTTGTAAGAATAACCAATTTCATCCCTTCAGTTCTGAAACAAAAAGTAGTGATTTTATTTAATAAATAAAGCAGGAATTTTGTTTACTTTGAATGAACAATATCTGGTTAGCTGAGATAAACAATATTATATGATTATCTTTGAAAATGTAGAGTATGCTGACAGAACTTGCCAGTGCAGAGATATTACAAGAAACTGCTAATTTCAGATGTTTCATGCTCCATTTTTACATCCAATCCAGGCAAATAGGCCTACTTTTATCAAAAACAGAAATGACGCATATGCAGATAATGCTCGAGTAGTCAAGTACTTAAAATGACTTAATACACCCCCCCACTTCGGCTAAGTAATACTTCACATCTATATTCACCTTTTAATACCATAAAAAAGGTAAATAATTTAAATATCATGTAAAATAAAAATAGCTCTTTACAATGACCTAGTTCTGACAGGTGACTGTTTCTATTTTTTCTGGCATAAATTTGACTTTTTCAAATAATAAAACTATGTCCATGTTAATAAACTAGATAGAGAGAGAAATGGGGTTAAAACGTTCACTCGACATAAAGTAGGTCATTTCAGGACTAACATATGGTTCAATTTTATTTCAATAATTTGCTTGCGCTTAGGGATCATTATGAGTGGGAGGAATCGAGAGGACTCACAGAAAACCCACGAGGTTGGATAGGCGACCCTACTCCTTGTCATGTTCAATTGGGGAATCGAAACCACCCCACTTGACTCAATGACAGACACTGTGATTTCACACGCACGGTGACTCCTTTAATTAAACATCTAGACCACCACCCCCATTAAGTTAATCTGCAAGATATTCTAGCACTAATATCATATATTTATTTAATTAACTTACCCATTATTTTTGATTTCACTTGTTTCTAGCAGTTGGAAATCCATGATAACAATATCATGCCATATTCTAGCTATTACAAATATTTGCGTATTCCACATACTTAGTATTCTCTGTGAAAGTGAGAAATCAAAATAAGAGACATGAACCATTCACCAAGATAGGTGAGAAACAAGCAGAAATCAAAATATTTAAAATATACATTCACAATTTATTTATTGTCCTTTTCAGTCTTTCAAAGTTTAATGTAAAAAGTTTTAAATTCAGAAGTAAATCAAATTATTTCAGTTGAATCAATCTTATTTTGAGTTATCAGAAATGAAATGAAATGGGGTTTAACGTCCTACTGTTCTGCTCCTAACCTGGGCTAATGAAGACGAGCATACGCTATACAGTGTTCTATGAGGGAAATTTTGCCCGCTACGGCCTACTCTTATATCGAATTGCAACTGCCAAGGGATCTTTTACGTGCATGCCAATGTGTACACGGGACCTCGGTTTTTCGTCCCATCCGAACGACTAGACAGCTGTCCTTGTCAGGCCCTCCGTCCTGCATCACTGACAAGGGAAAACCACGCTGGAAAATCTGAATGAACTTTCTCGGCCAATTCAGGGATCGAACACCCGACCTCCGGGCTAGCGAGCCAGCGTCTTACCCACTTAGCCACGTGATCCCCCTTGAGTTATCAGATATGAGATTATAGATTCAAATGGGATTTAAGTACATGAGAAAACTTACATCCTCATTAACTGTGAATAAATGTTTACCATCTGACGACAACTTAGCAAGAACAATTCCAGTATCTAAAACAAATTTAACTAATTATTATATCATTGACATGATTGACTGTACCATTAAATCAGGATGTTCAAATTAGACTGTATAAAATATTGGAGACCATCAATCAATTGCTGAGATAAAGATGTTTTAAGTTTCAATTCACCAAGTTGTAGATTTATCAGTAGTATTCAAAAAGTATTAGGTATGTGTTGTGCAGATATAGGCCAACACTTTGATATTTGATATTAACCTACAGGTACATATGTCTAAACTTAAAATGAATATCATTTCATAGCATTCAAAATTAATATGTATTTTCATAGTAAAAGTGATAATGGCTCTTTAAAGGGTGCTAAACCTCTTTGATTTAGGACAAAATAAAGTAGAGTTAATCTGATGTGTTGCTTAAAATGGTGATAGAGCGAGCTCTATTCAATATCATTTTTTTGTTTTTCAAGATAACACATTTGCATGTTTACTAATTTTAAGTTAAATTTTCCCTTACTGTGCCTACAGTCGAACTCAAAATTGCTTTAATCTCAACACTGGCATTTATAGACATAAAAATTTCAATGGAATCAACATTTTTATTTTTGACCAAAGTTTTGCATTGTTATTTGAAAATTAGATAAACCTTGAAAACGGATATTGTTTATTTTTTTAGAAAACATACCATCTCCATAAATATTGCCTTCTTCATTAATTAATCTAACCTCATCTCCTTCAAACGACCATTTACAGATAATACAATCTCCTTTACCCTGTAAAACAAAAGATTCAGAAAATGCTTCACTACCACAGCCTTATGATCTATGGTCATGAAACAAATCCTGATCAAATTTTAACAAAGTAATATAGACTGTCTCATAATCTTATTAGTTTCACAAGTTGTTTCAGTCCATTGCAAAATGTTTTGACATTCAATGAGCATTACAGCATTTCTCTACCACGAAAGAAACAGGATAGAAAAAGAGAGGAACTGTTTAGTTTACAGAACATTTTGTGTAATCGATTGATATTTAAAACTGCATCATACTTACAAAAGTATAAAAGTGATGTTTATAAGATATAATCTCTGTTGTAGATATTGTATGATATTTATTTGTTTCTATCCTCTCTAATTTCATCTGATTTTTTAGAAGTGCACCCAGATTTTCTGGTCCTGTCAAATATAGATATATTAGGCCACACCAAAAAAATATGATGGTTCTCAAATAATTCTGATGTGGAAGGACAGTTTTTGTTCTTACTTTTTCAAAATTTGGCTATTTTTTTTCATTTTTAAGAAACACAAAATTATTATAATTTAATATTTAGATAAGAGTGCACAGGAGAAGGCATTATGATTGTAAAATAAGGCAGATGGACAGGAAACTTGCTCTCTTCATTGTCAAATAAAAAATTAACAGTTGATTATCCAGTGCCATTCGTGATTGTCAATAGTGAAGCGACCCATTTTTGATGATGCAGCATCCGAGTACCAGAATATTTTTTTTGTGCAGCCTTAGTAAAATCAAAACAAAAATAATAATATGAAAATAAAAACAGAACATCACCACATGGTACATTTCTAAATGCACTATTCAACACAGACATTTACTTCATGTATTCTACATATAAATGAAATGGCATGAAATGAGGTTTAACATCCTACTACTATACTGGGCTAATGAAGACGAACATACGCCATACAGTGTGCTATGAGGGAAATTTTCCCCTGGCAGCGGCACTATGGCCTACTTTTATATAGAATTCCAACTGCCAATGAATCTTTTGCATGCATGTCATGTATACGCGGGACCTCGGTTTTTCATACCATCCTAACGACTAGACAGCTGTCCTTATCAGGCCCTCCGTCCTGCACCACTGACAAGGAGAATCCACGTTGGAAAATATTGATGAATTTCTCGGCCAATGCAGGGATCAAATACGTGACCTCCAGACTAGCGATCCAGTGTCTTACCCACTTAGCCACTGTGGCTCTCTACATATAATGAATAGTCTGAGCAAGATAATATTAGTGCGGGCAGTTGCTGCAATAGAAATACCAACCAAGATTTATGGTTGGTCTAGACGAATATCATCATTAAAAAAAAAAGTTCCAGTCCGAAATCTAGACCATCCATAAACCGTGGTCCAAGGATCTTCTCAACCCTATTAAAAAAACATGACTAATATCCATACCTTCTGTAAATATAGAAAGATCTAAACTCTTCATAATACAAACCAAACCATCCGTTGATAGAAAAAACACATCACATACAAGTTCTTCTATAAAGAGAAAAATTATTCATACCGAATAATTATTCATACAAGAAATTAATGATTTGTGACATCAATGCAACCTGAAGAGGGTCCACATAATAAATACGTATTGAAATTAATGTGACATTATTATTATGTAATCAACGAATTTGATTAGCCTGCCATCTAATTATTAATCTCTCTTAATTATTGTAACGTTTTGATGGGTGTTATGTTTGGTAATACCACTGCCGCATTTTATCTAGGTTAGAGAACAGGAATGCAAATTGAATTAATGCATCCAAGAGGTTACATTTAATGCATTCTGTTTACATGTCATAAATTGTAATGTATCTACCATTGTGTTTTTCTTGAAACAATATTCGTCTAAAGGCTGCTCCATTAGTTATACTAGCTTCTGGAAATACTGCCTACAAAGTAGTAAAGGAAAATAACTAAATGTACTTTAACTAAGTCAACAGCACTTTCCATATCGATAATAATTTCTAGCTACAGTATGGAAACAGAGAGATCTGGCACATAGTGGTACATTTACAATAAACAGATCACAATATTTAAGGTTTCTAACTCTATGCCAATCAATTCTATTAATTTTACAAACTACCATTTGAAATCATTAATATTATGTATCATCATATATTATGGAGAACTTAAATTAGGATATGGATTACAATAATAAATATTCTCAAGTTATCAACAAATATCAACATTTAATCAGTAGAACCAACAGAAAATATATTGTGCTCCATGCAATCAATGTAAGGACATCTATACTATTCAAAAAAAGTAGGGGATATTTGATTTTGGGGGCATAATACTAAAATATGCAAATGACTACGAAAAAAGTCACTATAGAACCTAACAGAAGAAACATTTCCAGTTACATGTGACGCCCAAACGCACCAATAGCTACCGCATGGAATGCAGGTGATGCTTGGGATCATCATGGGGGTCCAACCCAAGATTTGCACGACTCTGACTTTGAATGTTACAGTCATTGTGGCATTGAATTCCAGGGTGGAAACATCAGTTTAATTGTTTTAGTGACCAGAAAACAAATTTTGATATGCGTCGGCTTACCCAAAAAGAAAGGTTACGTGCCCTTGGCATGCTACAGATCGGCACAACACAGGCGGTTGTGGCGCGGACGATGAATGTTTCTCAGTCTGTCATAAGCAGGCTATGGTCCAGATACCGTGATACACAATCTGTACAGGACAGACCACGCTCAGGTCGACCAAGGGCGACAACTCAAGCCCAGGATCGATTTATCCGTACCTTGGCCTTGAGAAATCGTGTCATCACAGCAAATCAGATCAGCGCTCGTCTTCAAACAGACACTGGTGTGAGAGTGAGTGGCCAGACGATTCGGAATCGACTGCATAGGGGTCCCCTTCGCGCCCGACGTCCTCGCGTGATCCCTTGTTTGAGAGATCATCACATTCAGGCAAGATGTCGTTGGTGTAGGGATCGTCAACACTGGGATAATCGACGCTGGAGCAATGTGATGTTTTCAGATGAGTCAAGGTTCACTGTTGATTTTTTGGACAGACGTAGGAGGGTGTGGCGTCGTCGAAACGAGCGCTTCCAAGAAATTAACGTCATCAGACATGATCGATTTGGGGGTGGTTCTGTTATGGTGTGGGGAGGCATCACTGTTGCTGGAAGAACGGCTTTACATGTTGTTGCAGGGCGTGTTACAGGCCAGTACTACCGGGACAACATCTTGGCAGTCCATGTTGTGCCGTTCGCACGACGTCATGGCCGCCGTTTCATCTTCCAGGATGACAACGCAAGATGTCACAGGGCCAGGATCGTTACAGGTTAACTCCAACAACAGAACATCACCACATTACCTTGGCCAGCACTGGGTCCCGACCTCTCCCCCATCGAGCATGTCTGGGACATGCTTGGACAGAGGTTACGTCAACGTCAACAACGTCCTGCCAATGTCCAAGAACTTGCTGCTGTGTTGCAACAGGAATGGGACAATCTGGACCAAAATGACCTTAGACGTCTCATTAGGAGTATGCCACGTCGGATCAATGCTTGTTTGGCAAACAGAGGAGGATTTACCCGTTACTGACTTGGTTGTGATGCTGTGGTAACTTTGCTGTTTGACCCCGGGTATCATTTTACCCTTATAATGGTCAGTCTGTGCCTTACTTAGTCTAACGACCATTTGGAATAAATCGATGAATGTGAACTTCATTTCATTTTGTCATTTGTTTCTTCGTCAGTTTCATTAGGTGACTTTAATAACACTTAAAAATCAAATATCCCCTACTTTTTTTGAATAGTATATATCAATTTCACAATGTACTTACGAAAGTAAACAATATTTGATAGGTTTCTGTTTCTACCAGATATATTTTGCCATCTTTAGTTCCTACAACCAATAATCTACCATCTGGACTCCAACCCACAGCATCAACAGCATCATCTTAAAATAAATATAATAGTAATATATACATTTTCATAATAAATTTCAATAAAATAAAGATCAAATCTCAAACACTCAACTGCAACAGCTGTAAAAATTAACCATCAAAGCTTTGAACAATGTAAATATAAAGCTTGTAAACTGGGCAATATCATGATCAGTGCCTCATTTTCTACAATTAAAGAGTGTAACAGGCCACCATACCCAATACAGTGCATACGTTCACTGTAACATCACTGGCGTCTGAGCGAATAAAGAGTGTTTTTGATAATTGGCAAAGTCGTTTTTACGGGAGGTCTATATTTGCGACTGAGTGAAGATGCCATAAAGTAGATATAACCAACCATTGGCAACAAGTACAGAATATTTTTTGGGGTCACTTGATGTGCTCTTTAAAGTATACTCAATCAAGGTCAATGCTTTGATTTGTAATAATTAGGTGAGCAATATTAAATAGAAATCATTATTTACCAAAACTTAACGTGAAAGCAAACTGGAAATCTTTGAATATGGATAGGTCTTTACAAATAGCCAAACATCCAAAATCTCCCAAAACTGATGACACTACTTTGAGCTGCTTTGTTCGATTCTAAAAAATCAGTAAAAAAAAATTTTTTAGTTGAAACTTTTAGGCATTTAACGTGGTAAATTTTTCATTAAAGCAGATTCTGTCATTGAAAATAATATAGTGTTCTGTCAGTATTTTTAGTACCAGTACTATGATACTCAACATCCATGTACCTGATACATGTAAGCTTACATATGATGTAGTATGCCCTAATTCTCCCCACTGAATAAGAGAGAGAGAAATGTGGTTAAACGTCCAATCGACACAAACTAGGCCATTTCAGGATTTAAATAATTAAGTCTGGACATAAGGCACCTGGAGAAAACCCACGAGGTTGGATAGACAACCCTACTTCTTGTCACATACAAGCGGTGATTCGAAACCACGCCACTTGACTCAATGACAGACCTTATAATCTAAACTGCACACATTAAGCCATTCAGCCATCTTACCCATCTCTACATGTGGTTACAGGACTACTTTAAAAAATAATATTCATTAATTCATTAACAGAAAGAGTTAGTACCTTTTCTTGGGAAGATATTGTTGCAAGAGTATCAACTTGATACAGGGAGGTACCGGTCTCTTTCCTTGGTCCAAAATGAGCAGTTTCATCTCCATCAAAATCAGTATTAACACAAATCCAACCACTCATTTTTCTGTAAAATAATTTTATGTATTAAAACATGTACCTGGCTATGTTTCACAATACTTTTATGTATTATTTCATGGCATGCCAACTGCAACCATAGAAAATCACCAGGGCCTAGAACTGGATAGCTGCATGGGTACAGGTTCAACATAGCGATAATATTCATTCACTCTGTTCAAGTCACACTTTCTGGTCGGATAAGCTAGTGATTTGGCAGCAAGCAGTATATGGTCAGCTCTATTTACATGAATCTCAAGATCTATGATCAATGCCTGAAATACTGCCAGGCTGCATTTCAAACAGTCTGCTTTTCAAAATTTTCAGCGGAATCCCCCCCAGACCACCCACTGAGGCTCGAGCCTACGGCGCAAGTCCGTTCAGTTGGCACTGACCTCTCTGGTCAGATATGAGATAAACTAGTGATTAGGTTACAAGGGGTATTTGGTCAGTTCTATTTATCTCGACAACCTGTGCCTGAAATACTGCTGGACTGCATTTCTGGCAGTCTATATTCCAAAATTCTCCAGGGGGTTGTGGCTTTGGCGCTCACTTTGCCCCTCCAATAGGGTTACCAGATTATTCATTGAAGAAAAAGAGACATTTGTTATTCTGACTGGACAAGAGCAAAAATGAGCAAGGAGTGCCCGAAGGGCGTGACTTTAATCAGCGTTCATAGGGCGCAACATTATTGAGCACCGTTCGGAGGCGCAAATTTAATAGAGAATTTTGTTCATTTGTAGAAGCTGAAAGATGCGTTTTCCGTCATTTTGTGATGGTAGTTACACTAAACATATATGTTGTTGAATGGACCATTGACGGGCATTATATTGATTTATCAACTTGTAAAAAAAAATTATACCCAAGATCTCACGACAATACGTGTGCATTGTAATTCCTGTTTTAGGCCTGTATTATGCACTGAACTATATTTAGATGATGAAGCACGATTGTTTGTAGCAAACGCAGTATACCGTACAATTATTAATCACTGTTAGTGTGACTTTGATGATAGTTTATTAATATTATGTGTTTTGACTTGTGTTATTATTTTCAATTGAAAAACACCTAATGTAAAAACCGAGACATTTAGGCATGTGAGAGGCAAGGGGACGGGACGACAGAAAAGACCCTTCAAACCGGGGCTGTCCCGGTAAAACTGGGACGAATGGGTAACCCTACCCTCCAACCACATTTTGATAGTTTTGACACTGACACCCAGTCAGTCATAAAAAATAAAGTAAAAATAGCCTAAATAAACTATCACTACAAAATTCAGACTCCCTTCACCATTTAATGTGTTTATTGTGTTGTAAACGTGTCCTGGTTCTGGACAAGCATTTTGTGAAGCAAACTGTACCGTTACATACGAATTTTGCTCGCTGATACTTACATCGTTAATATGTGTTTACTGTTCTTATTTCACATGTCAAAAGCCTAATTGAAATTTTCCGCCAACATTGACAGATCTCGCTTACCATGAGATAAAACGTGGAATTGCGTTGGTCATAAATCCAATATGTCTGCGCCCATGATGTCCATAAAATGCCTTTGTAAAGTTTGTGGAACACCTTTATCTAGGATTAAGTACAGATTAAACGTCATAAGAAGATATGTAAGCAATCCATGGCGAGACGCAAAATCTACTGAAACAAATGTCAAAGTTGGTCAAAGGTATATGTTCTTGTTTTTATTGATATTTACTGGCAATATGTAAAAACAAATTGAAGTTACCTCCCCTTCCTTCACTTTGGACATTTTGACATCAGCTGTACATTTATATATTCTTTTAATATTTAAAGATGTACTTACTTTCTCTTTGGTTATTTTATTTTACTATACACGTTCCACAAGCAATTCACTCTTTTGCCCTTTGCGTTTTGTGGAATATTTTTATAACCAGTATTAACCACTGACTGTACTGAAGTCGTAGCCTAAGCACTTCACAGAGTTCTCTTGACTTGAGTCTTTTGAAGGGCCTCAGCTTCACTTCAGGACGAAAAAAAGTCATTACCAATATCGTTATTGTCCGTCCTTATTAAGCTGGCTGCAATATGGAATTAATGAAAATACCTCTCTATCCCCACTCTGTTCTAAGAAGACTATTTTGAAGTCCTTACAAGTACCTTCTAATATATTTTTCTGTGTACAGTAATTCTTTTTGGTTTGCCAAGGCAAAAGGCATCATTTCTCGCCACATCTGACACAAATTTATAATAATTCAACACTATTTTCAAACAGAATTTTGCAATTCAAAAACATACAGTAGTCGTTAATTAGCAGGTGTATAAAGGAGCTAAATCGCTAATATTTGGGACCTAGAAATTGACACAAATGGGTCGAAACGCATATGAAAATGTAATATGAATGTATATAAACTGATTTACATTCAATGGTTTCTATTTTTACAAGAGTCTGGTTATTCTACACTGATAGTATTTATTGCGCATGCTCTTAAAATAAAAACATGGCGTCACCGTTTGACATGACTCATGGAATATGTCTAGCCTTGTTCTTTGAGTCCCTTGTTACAAATGGCACTGAAACACATTATGGTACACGATTCATGTACCAAAGGTAAAATGTTTATTTTGTCTTAAATATTTGATATCAGAAGTCCATCTTTTCCCGGTAAGATCACAACATCAGTGTTGATTTAAATTGACAAATAAATCGTGTTTTTAATGTCGAAGACTTTGGATGATACCGAGTTAGAGACTTAATTAGCTACTTTAACTAACTGTAAAAGATGTCATGACAAGTTTAACAGCCTGTCTTCATTAGCCCATTCCGAGCAGAACAGTAGGACGTTATTCATTTCATTTCACTACTTGTTGTTTATTACAAATTTAATGTCCAATACATTAAAATATCATATTACAGACAGTTGGAATAAAGACAGGGACATGCATGATCATTTGAAGACAAGATTTTCGGTATCAAATGTCGTTTTATTTGTCAAATTCTGATTTAATAAACTGTCCAAGAACCAAGGTTTAACAATCAAAGTGGATTACCCAGGGCTTTAGAAAATGTATGGGTACATTCACCATTGACGTACAAGATAAGATTTTTTTGATTTTTTTTAGGCCCGGGATTGTGCAGCACAACTGACGCTTGCGGCTGCCCCCCCCCCCTCCGGATCCATATATTGATTTGATATTTGTTGTTTATTCCATGCATTGTCTATATGTCTATGTAGTTTGTCTTCTCTGCAGGTTTATATTGTTGGTTTTTTAGTGCTTTGTAAGCAGCTATTGTCATGTCTTTTGTTTAAAAAAGTTCATGTAAATTTTACTAGGATTACACTCAATTGTCTATTTTACCTACTTTTATTTTAGCACTAAACATATATTTATTTATTTTTAGTTCATTGAAGATCAGTACAGGAAAACTGGCAAGATTTTCAGATGGAGCAGCTGTAGTTGAAGTATGTTTTTAGTTTATTTAACATATGAAAGTTCAAGTGTTTTAGTTAAAAAGTACATTATTCTGTCAGTTGAAATGAAATATAGTAGTAACTATTATAACAGACAAGCGAACAAATACTAAATTATTTTTGCTTTCCTGCAAAAAAACATGTATATTACCTGAAGTAAAGTACAAAGTTGATTTATTTTGTGAAATGACGTGTAATTTTACATGTATAGATGAAAATGATTGAGTGTTACATACATGTAGTCAAGCCAGAAGAAAAGATTGGTTTTATTTGTAGAAAATGATTATAATTTATTAATTGGTAATGATAACCATTTTTATTATTTTAGCTTGGAAACACTTCAGTATTGGTTACTGCTGTAAGTAAAACAAAAACCACACCAGCTTCATTTCTTCCTTTAACAGTAAGTATGTCATGATAAGATTTAATTAATTTTTGACTTCTGATTTATAAGTTACCGTTAAAAGTAAGGTATACGTCTGTCATTATACATTTGAAGCATGATAAATGAACAATATATTATGCCATTCACAAATTTAAAAATATTAATAATAATATTCCCATGAACCTTTGATTCCTATATCCAAAGTTTTTTATAGTTCAAAATTTCGTTTTACTTGTTTTTACTACACTAGGATCTGGAAGAGTTGTTATATTACCGGTGTTTTGATTGAAGTGAGGGATAAGCCAATGAAACGGTCTGTTATGGCGACTTTTTGGTGGGCCATGCATAGAACTGTGGGTAAACCACTAGAACCGTCAACGCTGATTGATTAATCAATGTCTGACTTCATAGGGTCAAAAGCTGCTCGTACGACCCCTGACACGACTTTCAAATACAACTTGTCAGATCTTCATGTAGTGCAGGCCATCGAAAGTATAAAAAAATCCGAAACAAAATATAGATCTGTATTTTTATCAGATTGATTCAATGCCTAATTTGCATACAATGACAGTATAGCTAGTCTTTTTGGGTGGGACAAAAAACAGAGCTACACCTGTACAATCTTGCATTACACCTTTTCATAAAGGTCAAATGATACTCAAGTAGAACAGGCAGAGATGACAGTGATTTATTCCAAGGTTTATAAATATATATATTTTATCTTTATCAAATAAAACACATGTAGAATTTGCTATAAAATTTCCAGGGATATATAGCCTGGTTTTCAAGGATAGTTATATCTAAATAAGTTACCTGTCAAGATATATTTTGTGTTGATTTTATTGAAGGTTGATTATAGACAGAAAGCTGCAGCTGGAGGTAGAATACCTACAAACTATATCCGTAGAGAACTTGGTGCATCAGAAAAAGAAATATTAACTGGAAGAGTAATAGGTACATTTGTACGCCTACATCACCAATATCATTCCTGAATTAGTTTGTATTAAAACATAGAAAAATACCATCAATGTTTAAGTTTTCTTTTATTTGAAAATACACAATAATTTTAACCTTCTTTCTCAAGTGTGAAATTTATTATTATTAATAATATGCATATGAATAATATGCATTTTAGTTGAATTATAATTCTTAAATATTATTCTATAAGCATAAAATTAACTTTAGTCATATCTTCTTCATGTCATTTATATATTTATTTAGTCAAAGAGTATCCATTTTAAAGGATTTAATTGAAATTCAGGTTTAAAATTTTAATTGGTGTGACCCAAGTCTGTATACCACATATGATATTATTTCAGATAGATCTTTAAGACCGTTATTTCCTAAAGGTTATTTTTATGAAACACAGGTAAATGCTTATTTACTTGTGGATATTTATTAGATTATGGATATTCATTTAGAGTAAATTAAATGGTGCCAAAGTAATAAATTTAAGTTTAAGGCCTAGTGCCATTTGTAAATTACAGGCAGCAGAGAATATATCTAATTCAAGGGACAGAAACAATATGTGAATTAACTTCTAACTGATGATCATGAAGATTTAAATGATGTTATGTCATATTACAATTTTTTTTTCAGTTAATATGTAATTTATTGGCCGTAGATGGTGTAAATGATCCCGATGTTTTAAGTATAAATGCAGGTAACTCCATCGTTCTGTTTGTATATTAACATTTAATTTTGTTGATTAAGTTAAAGAGCTGTATAGTAATCTGTATGGTTGACTGACTTAATAATGGTATGACTTCTACTCTCTGTTGCTGAAAAATTCAAATTTGCATTATTTAAAGGACAATATTGGTGCCAGTCATTATCATATATGTGATAGAACTTGTTAAACACGTTCCAAATATTATTTTATCACAGAGATCATTGCTATGATATATGTGGAATCAAATTTTCAACAATCGGAAGTGACAAACGCAAAAGGAAAACACGAGTTATCCCTCTATATAAATGATTGAAGTGACGGGTGATAACAGGTACATGGGCGAATTTCTGCCCATTAATAATTCCTTCGAAGACCAAAAGTTGTTGTGTGAGACTGTGAAAGGATATCTGAAAATTCATGAAAAAAATTGACTGTCACTAGATAAGAGAACATGAAAGAAAAATAGAAAAAGTCTGTGCATTACCATGAATAAACATGCGTGAATTTACAGACTGTTTCTATTTTATTCGTGTTCTCTTATCTAATGACATTGAATTACTTTTTTGAATTGTCAGATATACTCTTACAGTCTCATATAACAACTTTTGGTCTTCGAAGGAATTATTAGTGAGCAGAAATTCGCCCATGTATCTGTTATCACTCCTCGTCACTTCAGTCAGTTATATAGAGGGATAACTCGTGTTTTCCTTTTGTGTTCGTCATTTCCAATTGTTGAAGCATTTATTATGCCTCTATCGTAGCAATGATCTCTGTGATAAAATAATATTTGGAACGTGTTTAACCAGTTCTATCACATATGTGTTAATGACTGGCACCAATATTGTCCTTTAAAGCCACACATCATCATTTTACTGATTTTGCAGCGCTAGCAAACTACAATATTGTAAAAGTTTACTCTCTATATTAAAGGAATATCAGTCTAAAAATGGTTCAATTTCATTTGGTATTTACAAAGATCTAATGAATTGAATATTTCTCATGATTCAGTCAGCCATTTCTGCAGAAGCAAACCAGTGTCCCCTATACATGTTGTGTAACATCTATTGATGATGTCAGGAGACTGTCTACCATTGATATTTTGATATTATTTTCTTAATTAAATGTTAAATAGTTAATTTGATTACATTTTAGCGTGGTTTAAGCTCTGAAAACTAGATTTTGTCTTAAAAATGTGTGATATGGATTGGTGAAGTCATACACTCCAATGAGAATTTAGCAGTTGTGTTATACATTGTAAATCTATTGGAAGAATATACAATGTGTTTTTTTTGGTTTTCTTTCAGCTTCAGCAGCATTATCACTGTCAGATATACCATGGAATGGCCCAGTTGGTAAGATTTACTCATATTTACTAAAAGACTATGATAACTGAGTAGAATATTTTAAATGAATTTGCATTGAGTTTTGCTAGTTTGTGGTCTGTGCCTATCCCTGTATTATTGTTTAATCGTATCATTATATATAGGTGCTGTTAGAGTAGGATATATAGATGATGAAGTTGTCATTAATCCTACTAGAAGACAGTTAGCTCTTAGTACATTAAACCTCATTATAACAGGATCGGACAAGAAAAAAGTAGGTAAGTCATATAGCTGATATCATATTCACAATAATCCTCTACTTACTTTATTATAGAAAATTAAGTCAATGGCCTGCTATGAGCGAAGTCTGGTTCATGAGCTTTACATGTAGGCCTACACTACTTCTCAAAATCCACAATAAAATAGATTGTCATACGTCAAATCAAGTCATCGAAAATTTTGTTTTCATATGCCAACAGATAAAGATTTAGCCTTTTGGACAGCTCAAACAACTAAGCTGCTGTGGGTGTGTATTTGTTGCCTGGCAACTTATCGTTGCCAATCTGCATTGATGTTTCTGTCAGAATACCTCTTTAAGCAAATCAATCTTAAAACATGTATACCAGACTTTTTGGTATTGATTATTATGTAAATTCCTCTACATTTCTTACAAATCTAATTAGATTTTAAAAATGTATGCATTTCTATATCTATGCAGTGATGTTAGAAGGTTCAGCAGAAAATATTTTACAGCAAGATTTTCTCAAGGCTATAAAAGAAGGAGTAAAAGAAACACAGAATATTATCAGAGAAATACAAAATTTACAAAAAATATATGGTCAACCTAAACGCGAATTTATACCTGCAGCAGGCTGTGATCAAGAAATATCAGAGGCAGTAAAAAGGTTAATAGAATCTATATGCAATAGATATTTTGAAAGTTGAAAACTAATGCTAAAATGATAGAGACCAGGAGAAATATTCTTTCAGAGAGATAGAATGTTCTTGATACATTTAGAAGGATAGAACGACAGTAAATTTATTACAATTCGTTTTCAAATATAAATACCTGCTTCAATGATAAACTTGACTTCTATAATTTTTGGGAGCCATGGTGGCTCAGTGAGTAAGATGTTGGCTCGATAACCTGGAGGTACCGTGTTCAATCCCTGTGTTGACCTAGAAAGTTCATCAGGATTTTCCTGCATGGTTCCCCCTTGGCAGTACCGTACCTGTCTTCATTTGCCCAGTCGAGACAGAACAGTAGGACGTTAAGCCCCATTTCATTTTACTTCTATAATTCTTATATGATATTTTTCAGTGTAGCAGAAACTAGAATTAAAGAAGTTTTAGAGGATGTTACACATGATAAAGTAAGTTCTAACTGAGTAATACAGTTATATACATTGTGTTCTTTATAAATTATATATTTCTGGCTCACTATTATAACAATTCTTGGAAAACAAATTGTCCCGCTTATTGGTCCAAGGGTGACTTGTTCAGTTTTTGTCATAGCCATCTAACCTCTTGTTTTGCACTAATAATGATGTATTTTTCATCACTTTTGGCCGAGTAGCTAACAAGGAAAGAGTGGCTAATGGTTTGGTACTTCGAATACAAAGAAAAAATCGAGGTCATGTGTAAATTATTGGCAGCACAATAGACATCCCATAGCTGGCATTTGGAATTGAAATAAGAGTAGGCTCTAGCCCCGCAGTCCAGTCAAAATTTCCTTTATTTCACACAGCATGGCGTATACCCATCTTCATCAATATGATCAGAGCATAAAAGTAAGATGTTAAACCTAAATTTATTATTTATTGAATATATTAACTGTTTCAGATATCTCGAGACCGTGCATTATTTGATATTAAAAGTGATATGAAAGAGATGTTTAAAGAAAGTTATCCAGATACAGAGAGTTATAAAATAGCTGATTGTTATGATGCCGTTGTTAAAGATGTATTCCGTACATTAATTCTAGATAATGAAAAAAGGTAAGTTGATAATTCCATAAAAGAAAAATAATCTGGTTATCAGATAATCCTGCACCCCTTAAAAATGACCGCATGACCCTTTTTAAAAATTTTAATAGATAAAAATAATCTCATTAATTATCGCATGTAAATCTTTTCCCCTGATTACAGAAAATAACTCTATAAAGAATTTGAATGAAACCAGAAATGTGGCATAGGCTCATTTATCAAGTACACAACCCTGATAATGTTATTGGCATTCATAAATGATACTGAATAATCATACATAATACATACCTATAAACAACATAATAAGATAAATGTAATGCCTTGAAATATGATGTTTATGAGAAGTTATTTAGCTGGGACAAAATAAAAACACAAAAATAAAAATCTCCCTCCCACATCAGATTTTGGTAAGGAATGTTTGAAAACCAGAATATTTATTTTGTACGGCTTAAAAGAAATAGTTAAACTTACTGGGATATTTGCTGGTAATAAAAAGGAAAGTCTATATAATAAGAATATATATATTGTCATTAGAAATTAGTTGATGGGTGTTGATAATCTGAAATGCGCATTTTATAGACCTCCCTCCCAATAAAATACACATATTATTTCTTAATCCCGCTCAAACATTCTGATCCCAAATATGCAGAACAATTTTCAAGAGCATCTTTACAAATAGAATCAAAGTTTTCTAGACCACCTCCACCACCAAATCATTTTAAAAATTAGTATTTTTTCACTAGTACCTTTGTAGTGAATATATAATTATTATGTGTCTATATTGTAGATGTGATGGTCGTGGTTTAACAAATCTTCGTGATATAAAATGTAGTGTTGATATGTTTAAGACATTACATGGTTCAGCTTTATTTCAACGTGGTCAAACTCAGGTATTTTATAATTATTATAAAAAAGTATTAAAAATCAGGCTATTTTTTATGCAGCATTAGTCCCGACGTTAAACCCCATTTCTCTCTCTCTTCATTCAGCATAATGTGAACTCTGTAACACAAAGATGTTAGGATGTCTTAGCCTACTGGTCATGTGCAGTCTATAATTCTGTTTTCATTTTTCACACTTTAATCAAAAATAATTTTAATGACCCAGATACATGTACGCTGACAAGAATATGCCTTTAATAATAAAACATCTGTATGCATTATGGTCAGGTCAATCATAACACATTGATTTCAATAATACTTGGACAATAAATTCTGTTGGGTATGGTCATAGACTTTTATTCTGTCATATTTTAAAATTGCATTTAATTGTTCAGATTTTTTTATGAATTTGATTATCTTTTGTAGGTTCTTTGTACCGTGACTTTAGATAGTTTACAGTCGGCTTTAAGATTAGACCCAATGTCCATTTTAACAGGGTATTTATATTCTCTTTCAATTTTAACTCAAATTTCTTTTCTTCTGACTTCTATACTGCATTGTTATCTGGAGCCACGGTGGCCAAGTGTGTGAGTTGCTGGCTCGCTAGCCTGGAGGACGTGGGTTCTTTCCCGGTGTTAACAGAGAAAGTTCATCAGGATTTTCCAGCATGGTTTCCCCTTGTCAGTGGTGCAGGATGGAGGGCCTGACAAGGAAAGCTGTCCCGTCGTTCATATGGGACAAAAAAAGGTCTTGTGTACATATTGGCGTGCACGTATAAGATCCCCTGGCAGTTGAAATTTGACATAAGAGTAGGCCATAGCGTCATTTGCATTTTCGCTATGATGTCAAATTTTAAAACATATATTTGCATAAGTAGAATCTGTTTTATTGTGTTTCAGGGATTTAAAAGAGAAAAACTTCATGCTACATTATGAGGTAAAGATTTTTTAATATGATAATAACTTTGTTATATTGAAATGTTAACCACCATTTCTTTTTATGTAAATCATTAAAAAAACAAATTAAAATATTTGTTGAGAAATTGGTTTGTTTATCTTACTCATGCTATCTGATATAAGGTCTGGCAGGGTTTTAAGACATTTTGGCTATTGGCTTTCACTTCCCAAATTTATATTTATTTCATGTTTATTTCGTTGGTTTTTCTTTTTTTAGTTTCCACCTTATGCTACTAATGAAACTGGAAAACCAGGAGGAGTGGGTAGAAGAGAAATTGGTCATGGTAAATTATAATATTATGTAGCATTGAAAAAATGGCATCTTTTGAGAAGTCTATTTTTTTAACTGTTTTAAGGGATGCATTAATTCCTGGAGCACAGAAACTCTAAAAATCCTATGACAGGTTACTTATGTTGGCGATTTGATAGACTGCTCTTGTCAGACCCTCTCTGGGGCTCTAATTGTATTTGAACTTTTTTCCAGTATGGTTTCCCCTTGTCAGTGGTGTAGGATGGAGGGCCTGACAAGGACAACTGTTTAGTCATTTGGATGAGATGGAAAACCGAGGTCCCATGTACACATTGGCAATTGGAATTTGATATAAGAGTAGGCCGTAGCGCTGCTGTTCGGGCAAAATTTCCCTCATAACACACTGTATGGTGTATGCCTGTCTTTATTAGCCTAGTCGGAGCAGAACAGTAGGACATTAGACCCCATTTCATTTCATTTTGTATTTGAACTTGAGACCAGAGAATCATAGTCGAAGTGTCCAGCAGTAATTGTAACCCATTGAATTGTATTCTGTATGCTCCCAAGTTCAAATTGAATAATTTTGTGTTTGCAGGTGCTTTGGCTGAAAAAGGATTAAGACCAATTATTCCAACCAATTATCCCTTTACAATTAGACTAACATCAGAAGTGTTAGAATCAAATGGTTTGTATTATTATGTAATTTCTGTCGTCTGCTTGTTGTGTTGTAGATCTCTAGATTGTTAATTGAATGAAGTGTGGTGCCAACCTAACTTGGTGGCTTTTCTCTGAGACCTCTGGTTTCCTCGTACTGCTAAAGATTTCTTAAAATAACAAACTTGAGCAGATGAAAAACTTCATTACTTTTAGGTCTGAGGTATGAAAATAAGTATTAAGAAGTTCTAGATTTAAGTGCAAGTTTCCTCACCAAGTTCCTCCATTTCACAATTAGGGATATAAATTGGCAGAGTTATAATTTATTGAGGAATAGGTGATACTGCAGTTACTAGATTTAAGTCCAAGTTTCCTCACCAAGATCCTTCATTTCACAATTAGGGATATAAATTAGCAGAGTTATAATTTATTGAGGAATAGGTGTTACTGCAGTTACTATTCATATGTTCCGTTAAAAGGAATAAATTAATGGACCATTATATCTTATATCTATATTGAAGGTTCATCATCAATGGCGTCTGTGTGTGGTGGTAGTTTAGCATTAATGGATGCTGGGGTACCAGTTAGTGAAACAGCAGCTGGTGTAGCCATAGGTCTGGTGACACGACCTTCGCCTGAGAACCCCAATGAAATACAAGATTATAAAATATTAACAGATTTACTGGTAAATTTTGTTAGAAATTTGCATAAATCAATCACAAACCTGGTTTCATATTTTTATACAGCCACATTTGTGACCACTCTACAGCAGGGTTTGATCATAATATCCTAGGGGATCACATGGCTAAGTGGGTAAGACGCTGGCTCGCTAGCCTGGAGGTCGGGTGTTCGATCCCTGCATTGGCCGAGAAAGTTCATCCCGATTTTCCGGCGTTGTTTCCCCTTGTCAGTGATGCAGGACGGAGGGCCTGACAAGGACAGCTGTCTAGTGGTTCGAATGGGACGGAAAACGGAGGTCCCGTGTACAAATGGCGTGCACGTAAAAGATCCCTTGGCAGTTGGAATTTGATATAAGAGTAGGCCGTAGCGCCGCTGCTCGGGCAAAATTTCCCTCATAGCACACTGTATGGCGTATGCCCGTCTTCATTAGCCCAGGTTAGGAGCAGAACAGTAGGACGTTAAACCCCATTTCATTTCATAATATCCTAAAGAAAACCCCTATCAAAATTCAAAACTTTTCCAACTTGTATCACAGGGGTATATCACAAAGTTATTTATCTTCCAATTTATGAAATCTTGTGAAAGTGAGTGATATAGGTCTCAACAGTATTTTTATTGACAGGGTATTGAAGATTATATGGGGGATATGGATTTTAAACTAGCAGGAACAAGAAAGGGTATTACAGCTATTCAGGTATGTTATATTATTTCTTTAATTTATACACATCAAAGATGGAACATCAATATTACCTTCCACGTTTTATATGCTCATGACATCTCTAATTTTCAACATCTACAACCTTCAAATTAGAATTTTTTGGTAATGACTCGGAGAACATAAAACTAATCTGTTGATGTCATGCAGTATTTTATTGATTTTTAATAAAAATGAAATGCAGTATGGACATCTTTGGATTGTCCCATGTTCTGAGTGTAATTGGTGGCCAAAGATCAAATCAAAAACCAGTGTTACGGCAAAACCCCATACACTGTGGAGATTTATGTAGGGGTTAGCCTTGACAAACGCTTTTCCTCTTTAAATTTCACCCTTATTTTTACAGTTCGTCAAAAAAGATGGATCATTCTTCTGTGACTGGTCAGTGTAGCATTGGCCGAATATGGGCTTAACTTGAGACATGTACAATGTTGTTTAATTGTTAATAATGTTTCAAGTTGACTTGAAATGCATTGAATTGTCCATCTGATTAATACAATCCGATTTTAAGTTTAAGAATTCTTTGTTTTTCTAGTGGAAGATTGGTATTGGATATCTGAATATTTCCATACCCAGATTTATGTTTATATATATTTGTTTTGTTTCCACAGGCGGACATTAAGCTCTCAGGGTTACCATTAAAAATAGTGGTAGAAGCCGTCCTACAGGCAATAGGTTAGTATGACAATAATTACAATACTAAATTTAATATTTCATTAATGTACCACCACAATGTAGAAAATAAAGAGGAATATATTTATAATAAAAGCTAAAAGTGAAATAATGACTATTATGTTTATATTTAAATAGAAGCAAAGAGTTATATTATCGGAATAATGAATAATACTATACCTAGAAGTAGAAGTGAAAGAAAAGAGTGGGGACCTGTTACAGGTAGTTAATTTTTTTTTTTTCGACTTTCAAATTCTTAAAATTTTAAGTTTTGCTCATCTGTGTGGCGATGATTCACAATTCTTTTACATTCAAATTCTGCTCGGAAGTTTTAAGAAGCAGTCACTGAGTCAGTAGCTATAGTTTTCCCTATTTTTAGTTTTCCTTGTGATTGTGTGCCATCCATATAGAAATCAAAACAGAGTATAAGACGAATGCCGGACTTCTGCTGAAAAAAGTACCAACTTATACCCTGAAAAATACGATAATTGTGGAAGTGAATTTGAAAAAAAGTATGGTAATTTTGGAGGTGAATTTGAACAAAAGTATGGGTCGTATTACGACAACTCATAATTTTGTAGGAATATTACTGACATAAATTTGAATACTGACGGGAATTAAATATGAAAAATAACGAGGCGCACCTATTTTTCATATTACGTACGAATTTGAATATTTTGTTGACACGTGAATTTTTAATTGTGGTTTGAAACTGCCTGCTTAAATAACGATAAGAGTTATGCCCCTTTATTTTCGGTAAAAATGTCCGACAAGAAAAATTTTGAAATTTCATCACTGCTGTGTGGTGATGATCTTTACATCTTCAATAAGCTTATATAGGTAGGTATGATTTTATTTCTGAATTCCTGTCTGTTAACATATTAGAATTATTATTTACAGAAAAGCTGAATATTCCAATTGCCAAGCGATCTCGATTTATTGGAATTGGTGGATACAACTTACGAAAGTTAACCAATGACACAGGAGTACAAGTTACAACTATAGACGAATCAAATTTTCAAATCTATGCTCCCAATAATGAAGCTATGGCAGAAGCGAAAGAAATGATAGAAGAATTTTTGAAAGATGATGTAAGGAATTTTTATTTTGTAATGCAAATCTATTACTTAGGCTACTGTTTCGTTGTAAAGGAGTTTCTAAGAAGTTGTGGACAACTTTTTTGCTTTGATCAATTTCATGTCTTCAGTACACTGAGTTCAATTAGATAAATGTTTTCTCGGGTTATTAAATCACTGTCTATTAGATTGGAACAAAGTTTAAAAATGTTGACTATTTCCATCTTTATTGTTTATTTCATTCGACAGAAGCTTTCATCCCTACAAAGCAACTCATCGAAAGATTTTGACATTTAGGCCAACCATCCAGTTCACTCTGGGATACACAATTAAATGTGCCAGAATCAAATTCTCGCAACGTCATAAAGAATGGAATCAATTGAAAAAGGGAATTTCGGGATGCAGCACATGCATCGATCAAATAAGAAAATACCTCAACTAAACTTGACAGTTGAAACATTTGTTTAATTATGTCACGATTCTATTCATGCTAACACAGAAGTATGACAGGACTGAATTCTGTCTCCCTTAATGGCAATTTTATCAATTCGGGATGTTCCAGACTGATAACTGAGTATGGCCTATGTTAATACTAACTAAGAGTGGATGTAATTTGATAGGTGGCGGGGATCACTGTGGGTAAGACGCTGGCTTGCTAACCTGGAGGTCGGGTGTTCGATCCCTGCATTGGACGAGGAAGATCATCCAGATTTTCCAGCGTGGTTCCCCCTTGTCAGTGATGCAGGACGGAGGGCCTGACTAGGACAGATGTCTAGTCGTTTGCATGTGACAAAAAAAAAAAGAGATCCCACGTACACATTGGCGTGCACTTAAAAGATCCCTGACAGTTGGAATTCGATATATGAGTAGGTTGTAGTGCCGTGTCCGGGCAAAATTTCCCTCATAGCACACTGTATGGCGTATGCCCGTCTTCATTAGCCCAGTTTGGAGCAGAACAGTAGGACGTTAAACCCCATTTCATTTCATTTCATTTGATAGGTGGCATGAATGTATATTTATCTTTCAGTTTAGCTATTAGAACTGGTTTGTTTCTTTTCTATTTTTAAATGTCCAAAAGTATCATAGATGCTTTGATGTCAAAATTATATATATAATTGATTTTGTTTATTTATTTAGAGAGAACCAGAATTAGAATTTGGTGCTATTTATACCGGTACTATAACAGAAATAAGGTATATACTCTTTATGTTGTATCATCTATATTTACTAAAGACAAGCTTAAAGTAAAGGTCCTTACTGGGTCTAAAGTTTCTCTTTTATTGTATTTTATAGGTTTATTTTATATTGTAGGATGACACTTTGTTTTAAGTCCTTAGATTAATTCTATATATGTTGAGAGTTGAGACATAATCGATTGTGTGTTTTGTCGACAAGCCCCAAAAAATAAAAAAATAAAAAACAGATTATCAAACAACCCTAACTTCCCCTTTAATCATCAGGAAACAAGAATTTAATCTTTTAGAATTTGTTCCATCAATATACAGAAAGTTCATTGCCTTCAAAGTATAGATACTTACTCATATTTAGTATACCAACATTTAAAGTGACTGTTTGTTCACATCATTTGCTGGTGGCTCAGTGAGTAACACATTGGCTCAGTAACCCGGAGATCAGATGTTCAACAATGGAGTTGGCTGAGATAGTATATCACGATTTTCCAGTGTGCTTCCCATTTGTCAGTGGTGCAGGACAGAGAGCCTGGCAAGGGACAACGGACACATTGCCGTGCACTTAAAAGATCCTTTACCAGTAGCCCGTGGTGCAACCGTCCGGGCAAAATTTCCCTCATAGCTCACTGTATGACATATGCTCGTCTTTATTAGCCAAGTTGGACATTGATAAACCCCATGTCATTTCACATCACTTGCCATTCCACAATTACTTGTAAACACTATTCCTATCATTCACTACATTTGAAATAAATTTCATGATGTATTTTTGTAGAGAAACTGGTTTAATGGTTCAACTTCATCCCAATCTACAGCCAGTATATTTACATAATTCACAGTTAGATCAAAGAAAGGTTTGTCATATAGTACACATTCTACAACTTATTTTATAACACACAAATATGGAACACAATTACTATTTTAATTAAAATGATGTTTCGTTGAGGGTTCTCTTAACATTATTACTTGCTTCATTAAAGGGGCATTGTGGGAGATTAGATAAAGAGCTGACAGTTCTTGCTATAATAGTTAAATAAAATAATCAACGTAAAGAGAATATGCTGAAAATCATACATCACAAAATGTATTAAAATCCAGTAAATTTCGCAGGCTAGCGATGGCATCAAGAATTAAATTATGGTCTGGATAAGTTGATTAATGTCTAATTAATAATTTAGATAACATTTCAGGCATAAAGAAAGACTCGCAATAGGTAGATTTAGCCCTTGCATAATACATGTTTATTGTTGAGAGAACCCTCAATGAAACGTCACTTTAATTTAAATAGTAATTGTGCTCCATATTATGTTTCTGTGCTTATTACATGTGCCAATTGCTAAATTCCGCTTAAAGAAGATATTCTAAAACTTACTGTATTCAACTCAAAACATGATTGTTTGTTGCATATCCATCTGTTGCTCAGTGAGTAAGGGGCTCGCTCACAAACCAGAAGTCTCGGATTGGATCCCGGTATTTACTGAGAAAGTATCTCAGGATTTTTTTTAGCAAGGTTTATCCCTGTAAATGGTGCAGGACGGAGGGCCTGGCAATGAACAGTGTCTAGTCATTCAGATGGCATGAAAGTCTAGTGTGCTTGTGAAAGAATCCTCGAAGAGTTGGCAGGGGTGGTGGTTTAGCTGGATTCAAATAGTGTAGCAATAAGGGTGGACGCATTTTAGATAAAAATGAACGAATTTACTTCATTTAAATTTCATAATTTATTATAAATTTTGTATATCCTGATTCTAGCAAACAATAAAAAAAAAGTCAACTTATTATGAAATTATGACTTTTTTTTAAAATGCAGATTAATCACCCAAGTGTCCTTGGTTTCGAAGTGGGACAAGAAATACAGGTCAAATATTTTGGACGAGATCCTACAAATGGAAAGATACGGATTTCTCGGAAAGTCTTACACTCCATCCCAACATCTATCATGAAAAACTTAGCTCCTAAGGGCTGAATTGATATATAGTAAAATCAGAGTAACTCAAAGTTGAAAACAGCTCAATTTGGCTGTTGTTAAAATCGATAACTACAGAAATTGTACAGTGTCGGTTAAACAAGATTTGACTGAATATACCAAATATATAATTCTTGGATATGAATCAAAATATGGTTGTCTGTGTGTTCAGTATGGTACTAGTCTATTGTGACAGGTTTTTGTGCCAAGGAAAAAAAACCTTAAAATTTATGGAGAAAAGAACCTGAATATCTATGATTACCGCTTAAAATCTAGATTACAATTAAATGGAACAAATGGTACTGTGTTGAAAAAAAATACCTTTTGTAGTTGAACAATTCTCTAAGGCAACACAAATAAAATAACTTGTTTCTCGGGCACCGCCCGCACGCAAAATTGGTTGCGCGTGCAGTCTATTTATTAGTCTTGATGAAAAAAAATAAATATGTAACGCCCGCCCGCACATCGACAAGCAAGTCGTAAAAAAAATATCCCGCATGTACCTACATCCGCCATACATGTATATCTATTCAAATGTATTAAAACTGATTCAGATGAACATGCTGTCTTTTTTATCCGAACAATGGCGAAGTTTGGCAGATTTGCCTTTTTTATTGATATCGAAAGAACCTCCATTTTGTATCACGTGATATTAATTACCTCCCCTGATAAACTAGAATTTGATTCGTGTTAAAAGTCATTGGCGACAATATTTCAATCATTCGATCGTAATCGGTCCTTGTTTGGAAAATCCTATTGATAAAATAATGAACCGTAGAACAGGTTAATTAATTATAGCTAAGAATACGATACGATGACGATAGTCGTCATAATGCATACCTTAGAATCTGGGTCATTATTAGCACATTTACGGTAGTTTCGATAATCCGGAAAATAATAATTGGATTACCGATTTGATGGTTTTACTGACCAGTTGTTAGTTAGATTTAAATAGTCATTCAATATAAACACCGGATAGAACACCGAATATCCTGAGAAACACACCGAATATCCCAAGAAACAGTATTTCCGGCAATCTCCAATACCGATGACACGGTGTGACATGCATTGGTTGGAATTCGGTAAATAATTATAAATAAACCGGCGATACTAGATTTAGTTTTAAATACTGTTTACCATGATTATTATTTTTGATACACCTGGTGAAAGAGGCTTAGTTTTTAAAAATATTGTTGTCTTTATGGAGGGCTATTACATAGTCGTATGGAATTTTATTTTAAACCAATTTCAATTATGTGAATTAAATATGGAAAATTATTTTCCTTTCAGTCAGTGTTCAGTCTCAGTGTTTTAGTAGACTTGATTTTGGGTTTATGTTTTAAGTATGTACAATAAAGTTGAATATAACGGAAAGCAAAAACGTAAACAAGTAATGACTTTCTCATTTAAAAAAAAAAAAAAAGAAAGACCGCCCTCCCGCCCCAACAATTTTCAGCAATAGCCAAATTTTATTTTGCACCATCAATGAGTAAAAAAAAAAAGAAACCGCCCTCCCTCCCTACAGTTTCAGCTGTCAGTTGCCCGAGAAACAAGACATTTATTTTGTGTGGCCTAAAATTGGAAAAGAAACTTTTTTAACAAATCTCATTGTATTTAGATAAGAATAAGTTGATACTTGTCGATATTTACTTATAATGTGTATTATTATATAATGTTAACTGCTTGTATGTGATATTGTTCAGATTTAGTTGAAAATACATGAATTACCATTGTATATTAAATACTTGTATATAAATAAATACATGTATATAATTTTATAAATTAAAGTAAACTAATACACCTAGTGGGATTTTATTGTTTTCCTACAGTGGTCACGTTTTTCTATCATAGATGAAATATTAAATCAGTTTTCAGTCATCAGATTATTAACAACATACATGTTGCTATTCTGAACTAAACAACAGCGGGGTTTGGATAGCCGAATGGTTAGCACATGCGTGCTGTATCATAAGACCTGTCATTGAGTCAACTGGCGTGGTTTCGAATCCCCTGTTGTACGTGACAAGGAGTAGGGTCGCCTGTCCAACCTCATGGGTTTTCTCCGGGTCCTCCAGTTTCCTCCCACTGCTAAAGACCCCTACGCGCAAGCGAATTATTGAAGTAAAATTAAACCATATGTTAGTCCCAAAATGACCTAGTTTGTGTCGAGTGGACGTTAATCTCCATTTCTCTCTCTCTCTCTCTAAACCACAGGTTTTTTTGGGGGTTACCCTCTAAGATAGTCTCAGCTATTTATAGACAGATCTTTTAACAACCCCATAAAGTCTAACTTGTTGATGATATCCAGTGATTTAGACAAAGGGCTACGACTTTTGTAATAACACTGAAATAACCTTACCGGTAATAGACATACCTATTGTGATCGATTGCCTTTAGTTTGAAAATTTTTGCAGAGTTATCTCCCCCTCGTCTTCAATTCATCCAATTAAATGTATTTTATTCTGTTATCTTAATAAATATAAACGCAGTAACTGCATAATTGGTCATCGCACATAATACACATAGATAGAATATGGACTAAATTTTACATATAACAAACGGAATTAGAGTATCGTCAAAAAAGAATGTGATAACGCACAATTATAGAGCTGTCTCCCTTTAGTCTCCCAATGTGGTTTTCTTGGCGAATACCAGATTGAACGTTCCGGATTTAAATTCCCTCAATCCCCCCAAAAGAGTGACAGTCGGTGGAAAGGGGGGATTTGGGGCTAAAACGCATGCACCGACTGCATATATCTAAACCAACCACGACAGCTGAAACATGTTCGTTGTGTTTAACTCAATTGCAATTCGGGTCACTCAATTGCAATTCGGGACGTTCCGGACTGACAATCGAACACCCCACCCCCCATTGATGACTGTATTGACATAAAACGGAATGGAACTGGAACTAAAAGTTTTGAAGATAAATATCTCGCGGTTTATCAGAAGATAAAATAGTAACACTCAGGAAAGGTTCGATATTATCCCAGAATAATTTTTTTGATAAACTTAATATTTCTAAAAGAAATTATGTTTATTGTACAAGTTAATTTATTCTACTTCACAGTTAATGATAGGTTCCCATTGTCGTGCGCAGATGCGTTACGATAGGTTTGTCTCTATTGAGTCCACGATCTGGTACGTGCAGATACGTTCGGATACGTTTCATCACGATTGCTCCACGATTAAACTCAAGAATTCAATCGTAGTTCGAATCGTGATAGTGGAACCTAGCATTATCCAAATACCAATACGCACAACGATTTTCGTGGCTTGAAATAGTTCATATGATTATAAGAAATTAAACATGACCATAGGCGTTGGAGCCAGATGATTTTTTTTAGGTGTGTGTGTGGGGGGGGGGGGTACAAAAATGAAATGCAGGCCGCATCGTTGGGGGATTTGTGGATCCTCCCGAAGAAAATTTTGAAATTTAGATGGCCGCAGACGCGTTTTCCTGTTGTTTTGACTGGGGAGTTAATATAACCTTATTTTTATGAGGTTTTGAAACCAAAATCCCCTTCTATGGCCATCCTGAATTCCAGTCAGAATGTAACAAATCAATCGGACTGTTGGAGCTACATGTACATTCACTGGACAGTGTCAAATGAAAAAAAAAAAAATTGAAAACTTGACTAGACTTTTCTTCTTTTTTTTTATTTTTGCAGTTGAGCTTGCCCTATTATATAGAACACACTTCAGCGCTTATATTTGTTAAATTTAAATAAGAAAAATGTTTATTATCCTACTGCCCCGTTCTGTTTACAATTTCTGTTGTATGTCGTTTATAGTTGTACAGCAGCTCTGGTTTAAATGTCATACTGGATTAACGAAGTCTTTCTAATATTATAATGGCTTTGGATTTTATCAGCTGCTCCACAGAATGATCATTACATTATTACCAGAATAATCCATCATGAAATGTATTTCAGTTCTTATAATTGGTAATAGGACACTTGATAGTTATTTCAGCCTCGATCCGTTTTAAAGAACTTGGTGATATATTTCATTAAAGAATCCGTCACAGATATATTTTAATGAATAAACTGAGCTAATGAAAACAGACATACGCCATACAATGTCCTGTTAGGAAAAGTTTGTCCGTACAGCAGGGGGATCCCGTGGCTAAGTGGGTAAGACGCTAGCTCGCTAGCCTGGAGGTCGGGTGTTCGATCCCTGCATTGGCCGAGAAAGTTCATCCAGATTTTCCGGCGTGGTTCTCCCTTGTCAGTGATGCAGGACGGAGGGGCTGACAAGGAAAGCTGTCTAGTCGTTCGGATGGGACGAAAAACCGAGGTCCCGTGTACACATTGCCGTGCACGTAAAAGATCCCTTGGCAGTTAGAATTCGATATAAGAGTAGGCCGTAGTGCCGCTGCCCGGGCAAAATTTCCCTCATAGCACACTGTATGGCGTATGCCCGTCTTCATTAGCCCAGGTTAGGAGCAGAACAGTAGGACGTTAAACCCCATTTCATTTCATTTCATTTCCGTACAGCAGAGTTTCTGTCTAGTCTCCATTGATTTGCGAAGGCCGTCGATTTCCGACGGAGGACTATGTTACTTGCACGCCAACGGGTACGCAGGAACTCGTTTTTCTACCCCTTCCGAATGACCAGACAGTGTTCCTGGTGAGGGGAAACCAAAGGACGTTTTCATGTGATTGGCTGTACAGGTTTATAAACTAACACTAATTGGTTTTTAAAGCCATAGCGAGGTTGTCGCGTTTATCAGGACACTCATCCCACGCAAACGACAGGCCCGAATTCTGTATCAGTATTTGTAACAGGGGGGTGGATGGCCGAATGATTAGCACGTGCGCGCGCTGTATCATAAGGCCTGTCATTGAGTCAACTGGCCTGGTTTCGAATCCCCGGTTGTACGTGACAAGAAGTGGGGTTGCCTGTCCAACCTCGTGGGTTTTCTCCGGGTCTTCCGGTTTCCTCCCACTGCTAAAGACCCCTACGCGCAAGCGAATTATTGAAATAAAATTAAACCATATGTTAGTCCCGAAATGACCTAGCCTTTGTTGAGTGGACGTTAAACCTCATTTCTCTCTCTCTCTCTCTCCCTCAGTATTTGTAACACCAAGGTAGTGAGAGCAGCCTACGAATTTTGTTTACTTGTGGTTCAGAAGAGTGTAAATATACTGTTATGGCGATAACAAACATAAACATTGAACGTTACTCACTAGAACTAATTAATTAATGGAGTTCTGTGAGGATTGGTCTGTCCCCAACGATTTTATTTCAGGACGAGTTGACAATTTTGTGCTTGATAGAAGCTATCAATGTAAGTTACGATGTAAACAGATTATAACACAAATAAAAACAAAGTGAATCTGTTAAAAATCACAATTACCTAAGCGCATCAATTCAAGTCAATGGCCTGGACTGAATTCAACACTGTGAAAGATGACATAACCCGGAGGTCGCGCCGAGTTCTGTTTTGTTGAACCGTTGGAAATCATCAAATTTCATGTATTTAGCCGAATCACTCACATTGTGCGCTAATAATAGTTCCCGGTACATCAAATCGGCTGTTTTCGAATGAACTGTTGATGTCAAGATGTGGAAAATATTCCAAGGATCACTAATTGTCGAGAAATCGGGAGAATTTCATGCTAACAAATCCTGCCAATCAGGTGCCGGCGAGTTTTACCAGAGATAAACGAAGGGTAAAGTTATCTCAGGGGCAGAGATTGCATATATCATAGAAATATAATTGTAAAATCAAATCGCTCGCGGTTTACGTTTTGGTTAATATAATAAGTAAGGCCTCGCGCAGCTGAGATTGACACCTACGCCTATGGTAGCAAGCGACAGACAAAATGACTGAAAGCAGAAGTACCTGCTGCTGATGTGAGGCCCAAATCTCTTACTGACCCACCCCACTTTAATAGATTTTGGGCGATCGGTACACGGCTGTGTGAGATGACGTTTGTTGTACTGACAGTGACAAGAAATGACACTAATCAGTTGATGTCCAACATCCATTGACCACGTGGAAGAACATAACTTGAAAGGGTTCGGAAAGTGACATATATAGCACGACCCACATCAAAATACATTAAGAATCCAGAAGATTATGCCGATATCAAAGTAAGAATTTAAATTTAAATCGAGACTATTCGATCAGACTGACATTACAGTAGTGGTGATGAGATTAGGATATCTAATTATAGGAACGGTTTTATAGAGCAGGTGTTATTGAATATTAGGATTGATGCTACCCAGAACTACTATTAATTCCCAGGTTTCGGACAAGATCGTAACCAGTTCTCGCATGCAATCATATGATTAGTCTAGTAGCTTGAGCCGCAGACCAGGCACCCATTCTCTAGTTTGTGGCCATGCTGTTTTTATCAAGCCGATGTAACAGTGATGCACATTATCTTAATCATCTTCGTGTTAAATAATGTTATTTTTACACGGCAACATAGTGATAT